CATCCATTCATCCATCGATCATCCATCCATCCATCCGTCCATCCATCCATGCGTCCCACCCACCGACCCACCCACCCACCCACCCACCCACCCACCCACGCACGCACGCACCCACGCACGCACGCACGCACGCACGCACGCACCCACCCACCCACCCACCCACCCACCCACCCACCCACCCACCCACCCACCCACCCACCCACCCACCCACCCCCACCCACCCACCCACCCACCCACCCACCCACCCACCCACCCACCCACCCACCCACCCACCCACCCACCCACCCACCCACCGCCAGCCAGCCATCCCTCCCTCCTTCCCTCCCTCCATCCATCCATCCATCCAGGCAGCCAGCCAGCCATCCATCCATCCATCCATCCATCCATCCATGTACAGTATGTCTTGGGCAATGACACGAGAAGTGGAGGGTCTGGTTGTTTCTCGTTTCGCGGGCGGACTTGTATAAACAGGAGTTTTTGCTGCTTGATGATGAGCGTTTTGCCCCTTTTGGTTTGAGACAGCATCTTTTCGGGCACCAAAATGGAGTCTCCCTTTGTTGGTTATGTTTAGCGAACCATAGGGTGGATGCTCTAAAAGTATTGCAAGTAGAACAAGGAAGCCTTCCAATTCACACAACACATCCAATGGTTGTGCGGTTTTGAGGCTGGACTTACCCTGTAAATACCACCATGGCGTGGTTCTGAGCCTCTGTGGTTGGTTTACGAGTGATGGCGAACGGGGCCAAGCCGCTGAGGCGTGGAGCGGAAGCAGCAGCAGCTTTTGGAGGGACACGCAGGTGTGGTGGGGCCGGTGACCTCCGGAGGGTCGGTCTCAAAACGGCTGCTGGTAGAAAACTTGGCTGTTGGGCCAACTTCTGAGATACTGGTCATGGCTGGACTTACTTATTTTCCATGCTGCCAGGATCACAACCGAGGCAAGTGAAGGTTAGCCGAGGGCAGCAATAGGTTCGGACGCCTTGTTGACTCTTCAATTGGTTTTGGGTAGACCGCTTGAATTACATGTTTTCTTTGAACCCCACTTGAGAGTGCATTCCAAGTGCTGAGGAAAGAGAAGGGACTCTGCTGCTTGATTTCCACAGATCCACACAGATCATCTAGACGCATGTTTCATTTGTTTGTCCGCAAATACAGTCTTTCGAAGGCTGTTGGTGCTCCATCCAAAACAGAACAACGTAACTGATGCTTGAAGACAGCAAGCCTTGCAGCACGACAGCAGACATTCGCAGCATGAAACCTGCGCATTGCTTTGGGGGTATCCTTGCTTGCCTTCTGACACCGTCAGCGAGCGAGCGGAGACGTGGCCCTAGCAGGCTTGTTTTTTTTTTGTTTTTGTTCAGATTAAAATGGCCTGCTCGCCCAGTCTGACTGTACAGGCTGAGGTCCGACTTCGTGGAATCCGGCGATGATCCACCAACGGAGAAACCGTTGTGTTTTGCGTGCAAATAGTTCGCACAGATCCGGCTGGTGTCGCAATTCCAAAAGGGCGGCAATTTGAGATCCAACCCACCGGGGGTTATAAAAAGGGGCGACATCGTTCAGACCACTTTTGAGATGCCTTTTCCTCGCCTTTTGCGGCGCGAGGGACATTCCTTTTTCCGAGGCCCTTGAAAAGCCCTCGGCGCAGCCAGGCAGCTTTGGCAACGTTTTTGTGGACGACGGCGGCGTGCGTGCCGGGGTCTTCGCTTTCCAGGAGAGGAAGGCGCGTTGGGTTGACCACGTGGCGAGGTCCCAAAATTTCCTGAAGTGGCCATAGTCCATTTGGGTGTTTGTTTTTGTGAGGGGCCCCGCAAAGAAGTCTTTTTCCTTTCAGCTTCGATTGCAACAAGGGTACCCTCAAAAACGACACACCCAGTTGGGGGTTGCCATGAGGGCTCCTTTTGACATCTGCTTTTACGCGACACAAGGCGGGTCCACCCCCCCGGCCCAAAAAATGTGGAGGGACAGACACACCCAATTTCCCCCACAGGCTTCCCCATGTCCAAATCTGCGGGAAGGGCCTAGGTGGCCAAGGCATAGGATTGGAAAGATGAAGGTGCACTTTGAACCTGGGAGATTCCCAGGAGTGGCCTATGAAGGGTGACCACACAGCCAGTGGAACAGCACGCGCATTGCACAAGGACTATATACATCCGGGCTTGTGCGGCAACCCTTTATTTTTCAGCGCGCGCGCGGGTGTGTGTGTGTGTGTGTGTGTGTGTGTGTGTGTGTGTGTGTGTGTGTGTGTGTGTGTGTGTGTGTGTGTGTGTGTGCGTGCCTGTGTGTCTGTGCGTCTGTGCGTCTGTGCGTCTGTGCGTCTGTGCGTCTGTGCATCTGTGCGTCTGTGCGTCTGCGTGTGCGTGTGCGCACGAGCGCCTCAAGAGCCATGCGACGAAGCACCGCAGGAAGTAGCATTGTGCGCGCTTACACCATGAAGGCTTACAGGTGCAAGGAGGCATAGTTGCAGTTGAATTCTGCTGGCAGATTGCTAGGCTTGCACACTCCATACTTACGATTCTACAACACGTAGCCAGACACACAGCTTGATGGACATGAGCTTGGAACGTTGACTGAATTGAGAATGACTCCATGAGGGGGGGGGGGGGGTACAAAACCCCCTTAAATTGGGTCAGGATGGTCATCAACCCCTTTTCAATAGCCATGCACATCCTATGCCGTTTCCCTGAAGCAGCAAGGCCGGCACCACCCAAACCAAGCTGCACGTCATGGACATCCTGAAGAACCGCGGGGAGTCTGCGCCGCCCTTCAAGGCGTGGCCCTTTGAATGTGCGCGTAAGTTTAACATCATCGATGGTAGCGAAGGGGATGAAAAGGGACACACGGTGATTTCCCTATGCTCACGTGCCTTGAACATGACCCCGGCCTCGCAGCTGCCAAACCGCCTCAAAGTCTTGTCCCTGGCTGAACCTATCTCCTTTTTTTGGCTGGTGAAAGGGGCTTCTCATGTTTTGTCTTAAACTTGTAGAAACAAAAGCACAATTTTGGGTGGTCCTTTAAGGGAAGCCAACAGGCAAAGGCAGCCATTCGGTGGCGCTAACTTTGGGGGGACTCGACTCTCGCCAGGTGCAGGTGGAGATCGCCATGCCGCCTGAGGCGCCCTCGGACTTCGCGGTGGGCCTGCACTTGAGCGAGAAGCACGGCGTGATTTTCATGATCACCAAGGCGCGAGCTCGCACAGATCTCACGAAACGTCTCTCCGACGTTTCGGAGAGAGTTCCGGAGAGCGAGTTTCCGCTGGTACAGGGAATGGGTTTGGAGCGGGGAAGGGGTTGGGAGTTGGGGTTTCACCCCGTGTGGAATAGGAATTGAGATTTGAGTGCCGTCAGTTGCCAATTGCAGACGAAGCCGTTGAAAAGCGCCAACTTGACCAACGGAAACCCACAAAGCCAAAATGTGTCCCACTGATCCTGGAGGAGACGCACTGCCACCATCAGCAAATATGACTCATCAAGGATTTGGGACTCATGTTCCTGGAAAACACTGTCTTAGTTCATTGGACAAATTTGAGGTCCATCCCAGATGATTTGTTTCAACGTGTACCCCTTGGAAGTCTTGATGTTTCTCCAGCGCTGCGACTGGCTGGGTTTGTTGAACACAACCATGCCCCCTTGGAAAGCAGACCGTTCTACAGGTTCGTGTAGATTTGTGAGACGCATCTCCAACGGGCGTGGCCGGCCTGGCACTGAGGCCGGCTATCTCTTCATGTTTGACGTCGCCACGGGAACCATGCTGGTGCGATCCAGGGTCTCTCAGGCGGGGATGTGGGTGGCGCGCTTTGGGTCCTGACAAGGTTTGGTTTTGGGTGGCCGTGTGGTTCAGGCCATCTTTGGGTGGCGAGCTTTGCTGAGGCAGTCAAATCATAGTGCAGGCTTCTTTCAATGCCCTCCCCGACTTCCCACCAGGCTCGCGTTGAAACAGACCACGGGAATGTTTTGCTGCCGTGGCGATGGCAATGCAGGAGACCGTGTTCATCACGGTGGGCAGCGCTTCCAGCGGTGGCATCCTTTTTGTGAACAAGCGCGGTGCCGTGATGAGTGCCAAGGCGGGGGGAACATGGGAAGCCCTGAAAGCTACGCTTTTTCCCGCATCTCTCAGGGTTTGCCCCTGTCGCAGAAAAGATTTCAGCGTCCCATCAAAAAGGGTGGTTGGGATGGGTGGTTTGGACTGGCGGTTAGGGGTGGTTAGCCAAGGATTGAAGAGTTGGAATTGTTGGAAGACTAGCAGCATCCTGAAATCGGTCCTTCGGGATTCACACAGAGTTTCTGGAGCGAAGCTTGGAGCGTTTCGGATTCAAGCCTTCGGACCCTGCCTGCCTGGTTGAATCCAGCTGATCCCGTTCCGCTCTTCGTATTTTGAAGGAGCCAAAAGGAAACCAATCGGTGAGTGGCAGGTGGACCAGACGCGGTTCAGGGCTCTCCAGATGGCTGATGGAGCGGGTCATATGCACAGTCGGGGGACATTTGGGTTTAAAAACCGCTATCTTTACCAAAAGGAATCCTCAACGTGACATTCAGCAGTCACAACGCTAACAGGTGAAAGTTGGCAGGCTTAGCGCTTTGTAGCGTGTTTTGCCGGTATTTTGGTGACTACGTTTCACACGTCAAACGTATCTTCTACTTCATGAGCGATGAGCCACGCAGTGCCAGAGTCGACGCCAAACCGCTGATTGCCTCGCGACTGTTTGATCGTTTGGGCTGAACTTGTCGGGAACGCCTATTCTTGCACGACTCACAGCCAGAAGTCGATTGAGGAGCCTTTCAGTTTGGATTCTGTTGCAAGAAAGCAGACTACGTAAGCCCCAATTATGTTGGCAAGGGGGTGCAATTATGAGTGTTTCGCTGGCAGCGTTGTTTTTCTACTTCGCTGCATACGTTTAGCATTGCTTTGGCTGCAGTCTGAGCGATGAGGATGTGATCTGAGTGACCACGAGCTGCGTTTGTTTGCGTGGAGCTCTGATATTTCACATACCTCCAGAGGATCACTTTGTGGTTTTTGTCCAGCGTACCGGCTCTCTGTGACTCTTTCAGTCCCTCGAATCGCTCGGCGAGTGGGTGAAGTGATTTCGACAGGTGAACGAGAACGCCATTATCAACTACATCATGAACCAGCTGGTGCAGATCCCGAACCGACAGGATTGTAGCCATAGGGGTCTTTTTTTTAAGGTTAGTTTGGTTAAACATTTCCCCCCAACAAATTATCAAACAAACAAAACATACACCATCCAAGTGGAGTGTACCTTTGAATTTGCAGCATACCCAAACCAATCAAAGGCGGCTGACCCTTGAGTGATCCATCTTTATTACGGAGTTCATCCTTCAAGTATTTTGTCAACTACTTTCTAAGGCACTACCCCCAAAACACTATCCCCGAGTAAAACAGTTGGTGAATGCCCTTTGCATAGTGGCTAGGAACATCCATTAAACCCCTGCGGGTATTGGTTGAGGGCTGGTGGAAAATCATCTAAGAGAGAAGCTGTGCCTGCATCCATGTTCTGTAAAGGGAAGCAATTGAGACTAAAGCAAACCACAGGGAAACGAAGGTAAACCAAACTACCCTTAGGCTGGCTTGCAGAACCAACAGGCCCAATACCTCTGGGTAATTTTCTTTGCGCCAGTCGCCTTCCAACACCAAAGAGGCAGGCCGCATACCAATTGTGCCTGAGGGCTTGCTCCATCCAACTCTGTCGGCAATTCAGCCGTCAGCGGGGAAGAAAAAATGGAACAAGGGAAGACCCAGGATTTCATTGGCTAGGAACTTGTTCATCAGAGGGAAACCAAAAAGGACCACCGAAGCCATGGCGGGTTTCCAGATTTGCTAAACCCCCCCATAGGAGGCGTCCATTTGGTTCTGAATTCGTCTTTTACATTCTTGTGCTGTTCCAGGCGAACCAAACGGAGACCCCTTGGGCTTGGCATACTGATTTGTAGAATCCGTTTGGAGACCAGCTCTGACGGGGGCTCCAAATGCGTATGCCATTTTTTTGAGTTGCTACCATTTGTGGAGTGGCCTTTACGAGAAACCAACAGGAAGGCCAACATCCATTTTTGGTTCCCCAATTTTAAGGCACATCCAGTTCCCCTATTTTGAGGCACATCCCCTATTTTAAGGCAACTCAAAGCCATAGCAACAGTTTGCCGCGGGTTCGCCGCTTCAGGACATCGCCTTCAACATGGCGAAGCGTTTCGGCCTGCCTGGAGCGGTCCCTCGATGCACATCGATGGGCTGTGTGGGTCCCACCTACCTGGGTCCTGGGTCGGGGGAACCGTCCATGTGCGACCCCAAAGGCTGGTGGTTACTTGGTTGCTTGGTTTCCTTGGTTTCTCGTGTCTTGTTTGTAGAGAGGCCTGATTCGAAGAGTCGAGGTCTTGAAGAGTTACGGCACTTGGGACGGGGAAGCATGGAGTCGGTTTTTCAGTCTTGGGTGCCTTCCTTTGGGGAGTTGAATCCAGATACAGCCTGCCTTGGGTCTGAGCAGTAGCCAAAGAGTTGTGTCCAGGAAATCCCATCATCTTGTCCAGATTGGGCGTGTTCAAAAATTGGCACAATGGGCAAAGCGAAGATGTTTCGAAGGGAATTAGCGGCGAACCGCTACAAGAGGGATTGGAGGTTCCCTACATTTTTTTGTGTTTGAAGCATCACTCTATTTTTTTGCCAATTTAGCAAAGGTTTCGACCCCCTTTTTCCATGTAAGGGGCTCTATGGGTTTGTCTCAAACTGGGGGCATTTTTGGGCTTCCTTTCGGTTTCCCTTTGCCGCCGAAACTTTGGGGGCTTTCCCCAAAGGCAAAGCCCGCATCGGGACCGCCGGATGCCCGAGGACGAGCTGTTTCAGCGGCAGTTCAGCACGCTCTTTGCCTCCGGGGACTACAAGGGTCGGGGCCTGAGAGGGAGGGGTCGGGGCCTGAGAAGCGCATTCAATGGATACGTAACACCAACCAACTCCCATACGTCCGTAAAACAATCATATGGCCCCAAATGGTTTCATGGTCGTTTCTTGGCGTTGATGGACCTGTTTGGCTTTCAGAAACCGTTTGGCAGGCGCCGCCCTGATCGCTGCGCAGTGCAAGAGCGGGCTGCTGCGGACTCCGCAGACCATCCAGCAGTTCAAGAGCGTGCAGGCGCCACCGGGACAGCCGGGGCGCCCGGAGAACTCTGCCGAGTTGGGGGGGGGTTTTGGGAAGACAAGGCAGGACGGGAGCGCGGGGTAGAAGCTGGGATGTGTGAGAAGAAGACCTGGTTGCAGCCCTGAGTCAGGAAATGGAATCGTAACCATGGCCATTTGAATCCATCCCAGGCAGCTGAAGGTCGCAATTTCCAAAGCGTGTGATTGCATCGGCAGTCTGACAGTCCCAATGTGCCGATTGTTCTTGGGCGGTAGCATTTTATCCATCGTCGCACACTGCAGCTCGCCACGGCAAGGATGCGCCTTTCGGGTTGGTCGTCACATGAACCATGAGGAGTCCAAGTTTGCGAGTCCATTTCTCATTTTAGGTCGGTCACTCACAATCAGACATGTACGCAGATATATTGCGATATTTGTTTTTTTGGTGGTAGAAGCATTTCTCCTGCAGGTTTTGTCGACGGTTGCGCCAATGAGCAATTCCTGGACCGGGGATCACGAGGGAGTTCGGGGAACATGGATGAATTTTCTTGGGGGATTTCTTCCACAAGCTCTGAACCTTTCAGCGGCCGGAACCCTAACTCTAACGTGAGGTGCACCGGGAAGTGCCTTTCGCTTTGGCGAGCTCGGGGAATATTTTCGTTCGTCATCCGCGCGGTTTTTTTGCACGGCTGATGGGAGCAGATCGCCTCAAGCTGTCCAGGGACCCACGGCAACAGGCTTCCTTGAAAATCCATCCTCCTGGAGTTTTTCCAGGTGTGCACCAATTCGCCGATCACCATTCAGAAGTTCAACGCTGTTGCTGATTTGAAGGTTACTTTTGTTCACGTATGTAAGGACTCTCATGACATGGTATGGGGATTCTTTCTTTCGCTCTTGGTCTTTCAGCAGTATTTTTTTGCGCCGCGTGCCCAATATTGGGCTGGCACTTGAGGCAGGTCCTCGTTTTTGAGGCTACCCTTTCCTTGTTTTTTTACATGTTCCAAGGGAAACCAAAAGCAACCTCTGGCGGCTTTGCGTTTTGACCGAAGCCCGCTTTGGGGATTTGTTGGACCCAGGTCCTCGCCGATCCTGCACTACTTCTCCACGCTGCTGGAGCACAACAAGCTCAACGCGCTGGAGTCTGTGGAGCTGGTGCGGCCTGTGGTGCAGCAAGGCACGGTGCTTTTCCTTTCTTTTATTCGAGCTTTTGGATCGGGCTTGGCGCCGTTCTTTGGATGAGGCAGGCTCGTTCTTCTTTGGGATGGGGGAGTTCAGTTTGGGCTGAATGCAGGTTTGGTGGGCTATGGAGGGGGAGGGACAGGGCCGTGCTCAGTATGGTTCTGGTGGATTTGGAGTCCTGCATGGAGCGACAGGAGGCTGGCATTCTCTCAGGTTTCTAAGGTTGCAATCACTTTGTTTTGGTCAGCGGTGCGAACTTTGTGGGCACAGACGGACCTGATCCGCATTCCTATACAAATATATCAAAGCAGAGCAAGTCAATCCACTGTAATCCGCCAGATTTGCTAAGAGATTGGAGATTGGGTGCCCGTTTCCTCGACCGGTTCAAAGTATTGCTGGGGAAGCTCTTCAGAGACAGGGAAGCCGTGCTACCCTGTTTGGTGTCAATGCACCCGAGTTGCCTTGTCCTTAGGGAAGGCATGAGAGCGGCAAGCAAAGAGCTGTTACGGTGGTCGCATCCTCTGACACGGTAATTGTATGTGCGGTGCAGTCAGCGATCACATACTGACGCGGCTCCTATGTGCCATGGTCAAGGCACTTGCTCAGGATTTGATTGGTGTCCAGCAACCCTCAAGTAGCAGATTCTAAGCAAACATAAGGATTCCGAATGAGGGCGCACAGAAACCTTCACCACTATCAAAACCAGGGAATCTTCCAAAATTGTTGGCTGCATGTTGGTTCCGATTTACCGTCCTACCCAAAACGAGGTAGGAACCTGTTGCTGCGTTGCTGCACCCTTTGCCTCAGGTGCCCATGCCCATTGTCTACCTTAAACTCCTCGTTTCCCTTAAACACGGTTGAACCATCGTCATGTAGGGCAAAGGGCAACCACCGAAGCATGCCCATCCTTAGCCTTACTTGTAGCAGCGTAATGGGTTGCACGGCCCGCAAAAGCGGCGCTCATGCAGCGTTTGTGGAAAGAAGTCCATAGGGGAGTGTGTGTCAAAAGAGTGCACGGATTCGATGTCTCGGAAAGGACTTTTTGAGGTCTCCCAAAAAAATCCCCCAACGCCAGCAGACCCCTCCAATAGAACATCATCAAACCCTGCAACGGAGACCCGCTCAACAAAACCCGTGAGGGTCCCTCATGTTGAGAACCCAGTTCGTTGCTCGGCAGCCCCCAACTTGATTGGACACCAACCTGAGGATTGGGGAGCCTGGAGCCAAACGAATCCATACGGAATGTTGATCCTAGATACATCAACCCCAGTTTATTAATACACCGATGGAGGGGAAGACCGGAAGACCCTCCTATTAGTAGGGGCGGTTTGCTAATCCGGGGTCAGTGCCGGGACAAGCCGCCAGGCCGCCGGGAGCTCATCGAGAAATGGCTGAAAGAGGAGCGGGGAAAAGCGGGGATCGAGGCCTTTTTCGGCGTTTCGCCGTGCCTGGTTTCTTTGTTGAGAAGGTTTCTTCGCATTTGCTTCCAAGATTCTTTTCTTTATGATGCCCAGAGTTTGAGAAAGGCTGGCTACAACGGAAGCTCAGCTTTGTGTCCCACCCTTGAACCGGGTATGTTTGGTTTGGGCGCAGGCTGTCAACCATGGGTCCACGCCCATGCGAGTCACCATTGACTCAGCGGCTCGACGATCCTGCCCAGGTTTCGCTTGCTCTCGCTTGCCTCGAGCCCTCTTGAAGCTGGCCCAACGAGAGCTTGCCGCCATTGTCCGGATCAGCGTTTGGTACCGTCTTAGATTTGTTTTCTTGACTGAAATAATGCCAGAAGATAAGTTGTAGGGTTGAGCGTGTCGAGCGGGGCGTTGACCCATCCAGGCAGCAGTGTTGACTGTTACATGCATTGTCAGTCCCGGAGGACAAGCTGGAATGCACAGAGGAGCTAGGCGACATTGTGCGGCCTTTGGAGACAAAGCCGCTCGAAGAAGTGAAGCGAGGGCTGTCAGCTTAGTACCTGGCCCAATCCAAGCCATTGAGTTTTGGGACCCCTTTACATCGTTTTTCTGTTTTGGTCACAGGCTTCCTTCCGAAAGCATTCTTTTCAGGTGACCCTTAATCAGTTTATTTTGCGGTTGGACTTGTGATTTGGGGATTTGAACCTCTGGTTCTTGTAGTGGGTAAACGAGAAACCAAAAAACCAAACCACCAATTTGAGGGAGCCAACTGAGACTGCCCTAGTTCATTTGCTTCGAATCATTTGGACCTTTTCCAAGGGATAGATTTGGTTGCAAAATGTAAGGGGGTGCAGTGCTCAAGCAATTACCCCATGACGAACACGATTCCAATTGCATTCCACCTCCCCAAAGAGAAGCTGCGAGCAGATTCTCCTCTACACCTGCCTGCCATAGATTGACGCTAGGTTTCTCAATTCAATTTCATGTGCTTGGGCCGAGTCTCTTTGGGAGGTACATCAAAAGCAACAGTCAAGAGGTTCAGCTGGTTCCAGTTTTCCACGTAAAAGAGGTGGCACTTCTTTTTCTCACATCTTATGAAATGTGTGCCCTGGTCAAAAGACCCCTTGTTTGAAGTTGTAGGGTTGGCCATGGACGCATGAATGGACATTTTAGACAACGACTACAAGGGTGTCCCCCAAACGAGCATGACCATGACCTGCATAAGGAGTTGTGTTTACCCTACCAAACCACGTCCGAATTTTCTCTCAGGTTCGCCCTGTCCATTTACTTGCGGGCGCAGATTCACCAGAAGGTGATCCAGTGCTTTGTGGAGCTGGGGCAAATCGACCAGATCGTTGCATACGCTCTTTGGCCAGGATTATGTGTCGTGCTTGGGTTCCTTTCTTTATAGGCTGTGCCCCCGATAAGGGCAGACTGGGGAGGTGCTCGGATGACGATTTTTGTCGGGCTGCTGCAAGATGGCTGTGATGGCTCGTGGAAGTCTTGGTATGCCAAGATCCCGAGGAACCAATGAGTGAGAGCTGTTCCAATCATTCTTGTGACCCAACAGCGACATTTGGGTAGACGCAGGTCTAGGGGATAGTCCCAACCATATTTCATGGGTGTGGTGATGCCGCTATTTTGATTTGACTTGCAAATATCTACGTCTTAATCCCAGTTTTTGATATGATTCTCACCCACGGGTTCTGGGATCAGCACCTACGGACCATCCTCTGACCGAACTTGCAGCCGCCTCGTTGAGCGTGGTTTCTGACTCACTTGCCAATCATTGGTTCATTTCTAGGGGTTGGTTCACTTGAAGCCCAAGCACTTGCACGTAGCGAATACGCACTGCGCCCACATGTTTGGTGTGGCAAACCGCACAGTGCCTTTTAACATACGCAGCACCTGCTGATGATACCTCGAAGATCAAGAGGCCGAAAGGCAACCCGAAATCCAGTCTTTTGGGACTCTGAGAAATGCCAAGCACCCATGTCCTTTGGAGGGGAGGGGATCCAACCCTCTGAGGTGAAGCGAGTGGGCTACCAGGCGGACTACTCGCAGCTGCTGCAGAACATGGTCGGCCCCCCAAGCTACGGCCCCCGCGAAGGGAAGCGACACTTCCGGCCTGGGGCATGCCTCTCTTGTTTTCTTGGGGGAACCTCAAAAGTGACGGTTTTCGTTTTTGGTTGCCCTCAAAATGTACCTGACTGCACGTGCAAGATACTACTGGGCTCCCCATGTTTGCCTTGCAGGCAGACATCGCTTTTTGGTTGAACACGTTGAATGAGTTCCCAACACGAGACATGCGACACACCATGCTCCAGATTGCGGGTGAACTGAGAGGCGCGGCTTCGAAGCGCCATATTTTGCTCCATGTCCGGATTAAGCCCAGCTGGCTAAGGTGTGAATGTTCAGGTTGCATGAGCATATGGGTCAACGCTGTATGGTTGCTGAATACTTGTAATGGCTTTGCCAGTGTGTCTGAAGCAACTTTGGGCGCATGATCGGCAGAAGAGTTAGTCGGTTGCGCCATGATTTTGCGCACACCTGGCTAGGGGGTTGGATTTCGCGGAAATCATGCGCGTTTAGTTTGTGGCCTGTCTTTGGTAGCTGGAAAGTTTTAACTAGCTACTGTACTTTTTTGTCCGTTTCATGTCCACCCGAACATGTGCCTCATTGGGGATGCCCCCCTTTGTCAGCGGGGCCGGCGGGATGAGCCGGCGTCCAACATGTTGCCGTCATCAGCAGCTTCTATGACAGATCCCTCGCAGGGTGTTGTTTGAGATGTTGGCACGCTGAGAGATCCCTTCAAATTCCGCTTGGATCACATGAAGGTGGCGCAAACCACTCTCGAAACACGGTGAACGTGCGACGGCCCGTTTGAGGTGGCCAGTAACCCGGAGGGTGCCACCAACTTTGCCAAGAGCCTCCTGGAGGACCGATCGACAGGGAATGGAAGTTTTTTTTGGATGCGAGTTCGCAGTTGACAATGCGCTGGAAGGTGTCGCATAGTTTGTGTCACATGGAAATCGAGACCACTCTGTTTTGGCTCTCATCCACCAGGTTGATTCCGTCAGCATTACCGAGCCCCCAAGTTGATTCCATCACATTCACCTAGCTGAGGGGAGGGGGCCAGCGTTTCTTCATTTTTAGACGGTGTGAGACTTATCGCCGGCAAGGGACAGAACGGAGTGCCGCTGATCGACATCAACCAGGCGCACCGCGCGCGCCATCGAACATGGTTGCCATTGGAGGACGAGGTTTTGCCGGGTCAACGCTTGAGGACCAGCTGAGACATCTTTGCCCTGAGACAAAAATACTGAAACTCTGCCCTGGGGTTCGGGTTGAACGTTGGGCACCCAGAAAAGGGCGCCAGCCAATTGCAAGAAGAGGACGGGTGAGGAACACAAGTAGAACAGCGGCATCAGGCCGCTTTCAAGAGCAATAAGCAGCTTCCTTGTTTTCCCTCTGCAAGGATTATTTCAAACGTCCTTTGCCCAGCAGCTCCTGGGATTTTGGCCAGCTATGTTGCAACCAGAGCCGAGACATTGACAGGGATCATTACAGTTTTTTAGTTGTGTAGACATCTCCATTTGGGCCCATCGGGCGGGGTGATGAAGGTGAGATACAAGAAATCCTTCTAAAGAAGTGGCAAACGGCTGGATGTTCCAACGCCCCCTATGGGGCTTTTCAGGAAGGGATGCTGGCAAACAAGATTTTGCATGTATCCCGGCAAGCAGAGGGTGAACTACGAGATGTACTGCAATGCAAATCTTCATGTGACTGAAATCGCCAGGTGGTCAAGGTCTTTATGGACCAGAACAGGCTGCAGGAGACCACCTCTATTCTTTTGGACGCCCTGAAGGCGGATCGATTCTGATTTCGTTGCTGCGAAATCGGTGCGCCGGTGCGCCTTCGTCGCGTTAGAAACCCAGGGCAAGCCCCAAGACCCAGAAATCCGAGACAAAGGGGGGACCATGAGATTTTGACCCTGCCTCTTGCAGCCCAACTTTCTTTTGGAGACGCAGCCCCATATTTCTTAGGAATGATCGGGTACTACTCATAGATTATCTGAATTGGCGCAGAGCTGGTCAAGAGAACCATGAAGAAAGGACGCAGGGTATTATTCATAGCTTCTATTCATTGACCAACAATGAAGCGGCCCATGCCTTACCTGCAGAAGTCGGCTGAGAGTGGCAAAGGGCTGCTACGCTTCTGGAGTGGCTCATGCTTTGCGTGCTGGCTGCAATCAACAGCAAGCTGGAAATCATTTACACGTCTCATGAGTGCACAGTGCGGTCACCTCCCCATCAGTGGATTGGTGGTTTGGGACTGCGGTTCCTTTGAAGCCACGCCACCAAGCCAGAAAACGCGCTCGGAGAGACGCAGGGGCACATTCGCATCCGGCCAGGCCAACAAGCCTGACCAGGGCCACTTGCAGGCCTGGTGTAGAGGGACACCAAGGCGATGTCGGCATGGTGGAAGCTTTTTGTGCGTGTTCTTTCGGGTTCTTGGCAATGAGTCAACATATCACCGGTGCAGTTTTACTGCGTTGAAGTCCCTCGAAGTGCTTCGGGTGTAAAGCCACATGTAAAAATGATGTCCAAATGGCCCATCCAAGGTTGTCAACCCACCAAGGGGCCCAAGTGGACAGCATGTCCAAATTTGTAGACACGACACATCCTTCGAGTTATGGCAAACGTTCTCAGTCTCGTGGCGGAGGGCTCTGAGAGAATTTCTTTGGCGAAGGTGTGGAGCAGTGGATCCCACTCATTTGCTCTTGCCCTGGGCCATGAACCCACACATGTCGAGGGCAAGCCAAGGCACAAATGAGTTTCTGGTTTTACCTTTATTGAGGAAGACACATCAACACGATACCTTCCCCAAAACACCAACCACCTACACAACACATGAATCTGGGGTATGCGGTATGCCCCAATTTTTTGACCTCCCCCAAAAAACTAAACAACTCCCTGTCCTGCACGCCCGTGGTTTCGTCTGGACGGCGCTGAGACTCAGCTGCTGGCCATGAACCTGCAGCAGGCGCCCAAGGTGGCTGAGGCGATCCTGCAGATGCCGCCCAGCCGAGAGGGCTGGATGGGACCGATGATCGGGTGGGATCGGGTGGGGTGGGGAGGATGGGTTTGGAGTTCACCTGAAGCAGGAGAGAGCAGTTTGGGATGGATCCTCGTGGAGCCTTTTGTCTTCAAAAAAAGGAAGCTCATATACGTTTGCAGAAGAAACATGGCTTGTGAGCAAGTTGTAATTGAGTGTTAAATGTACATCTACCAAGCCCAGGAAAACGACTGGGAACTTTCCATCTTGGGAAGAGCCAGGTGGAGGGGCGGACAACTGCAGGGGCGGGGGTGGGTGGGTGGGTGGGTGGGTGGGTGGGTGGGTGGGTGGGTGGGTGGGTGGGTGGGTGGGTGGGTGGGTGGGTGGGTGGGTGGGGGGGTGAGGCTTTTGTTTGAAGGCGGACCATGAATGCAAACCAAAGGAGGTTGGCGACACGTGGCCAATGCAGCGGAAACAACATGGTGCAGGTATCCTCGTGAGATCATGCGGGGTAACTTGTACCAGTGTGAGGCGCCTAGGGTCCTGGACAACTGTGTGTGCCCGCAAGGTTTTGGGCGTTCAGGGCTTGATTGAGAAAGCTTAGTGTGTGTGTGTGTGTGTCATTTGCTGGAGGAAGGTCGGGGGGGATCACGCAGAGGAGGGCTTATGAAGGAAAGAGTGCATTTCCATGTTCGCTTGTGCTTTGGGGGCGTGTTCTAAAGTGGCAAGGGCAGAATGCGAATGGAGTCGCTGTCACTCGACGCCATGGTTCCCTTAACCTCGGAGAGAGGGAACACGGCGGTTGCCTCAGGAACATGTTCACCCACTACGACCGCGCCTACATTGGCCAGCTCTGCGAGAAAGCGGGCCTCATGCAGTGGGCCTCGCCCCCATTCTCGGTCGAGTCGAGTCGGTGCGGGATTCTGTGAGACAACTGCAACTGGGTTGGTCTCCAACTGGCTGGCTGGTTTCCTTTAAAACCGCAAAGGGCTGCCATCAAAAACGACACGCATGTGTAAAACTGTGGTCCCCGCTAGGAGGTTGGATTTCCCTTTTCAAATTCTTTCCGAACTTCTCGTGGTTTTGGGGCGTGCTCAGTGTTGAAACATCCCAGGGAACTTTGCTTGATTTGGGCTCTTTGATGCATTCTGCATTGGCCAGAAATGGCCACTGGGCCTCGAGGATTCCCACCTTGAGCACGTGCAGAACCCTCTCCACTCTCCAAAAGGGTGGTCTCAGTGTGGCGGCGTTGAATTCAGATGGCGAGAGCTTCCATGGTTGCTGCACTTCAAAACAGAACAGACTCAGTAGAACTCGCAGGACAAAAATCAAACCTTTAGAATGGAACATGTGGATGCGTCTTTTGAGGGTACACCTTTCATGTAATATTTAAATGGAACACAACAGGAAAACCATGGTTTTGGGGGGTCCCATGCGGTTGCTCTTCGAAATGAATCTGTCCCAAGTAACCCGAAGACTTGATCCCTGTTCGCCCAAGTCAAGGGACGCCTCTCACCCGGCTTTCATCCCGCATCCGTGTCTGAGAGAAGTCTCTGCATAAAAGCGGGCGAAAACAAATCACGCGGGGGTGGTTCTTTTGAGGGTAGCCTTCTTTGCCTTGAAGGGAAGCACAAGAAAAGTCACTCTTCTTGGAGGTTGCACTTCATCTTGCTGGCCGCGTCCTTTCCGTGTTTGTTGCGAAACGTCCAAAGGAGGCCTTTCCCCATGTCGTGTTCCGCTCCAAGTCTTCATTGGTCACTTGGGCGGTGAATGGCGGCTTTGGGCTGACCTGGGCCCCCGAGGCTATGGAGCACTACACTGATGGGTCTGACCTGAAGCGTGTCATGCCGGTGGCCTCAGCCGGTGGGTCAGCATTCCAAGTTGGAACCCGAATGCCCCGGATCGGACCATTGCCCTCTGGAATTTTCCTGGTGGCATGGCAAGGTGGGAGGGTGCTCACATGGAGCACTTTCTTGTCCTGCCAAGAAGTCGAAGGTAGCGAATATGCCAGGCTTGCACGCCTGACACGTGAAACATCTCTCGGGTTTGTCTTCCCCCCCTGTCAACCCATACTGAGAAGCAGCCTCCCTTCGGGAGGCAGCCTCCTGAAGGCGTTGCCGTGGGTGTGTGCTAAAGCGACGGACCTCTGGCAATGTCCTTGCAATGTGGGTGTGGTTCTTGGACGGTGCACTTTTCAGCTTGGTTTAAAGAGAAACGCAAAGGACTTTGTGATTTTGACACATGCCCATGTCCTTCTGACTTCCTTTGAACACCTCCTAGGATTTGGGGAAACCTCCCACGCCCCATGCTGATGTTGCTGGTCTGAAGATCAATGTTTGCAATTAGGATTGGTTGTGCCCTGTGACAGACCACCCAAATCTGGGCAAGTTCTGAGTCACAATCTGGAACTAAGGAATCCCCAGTACGGTTTTAGTTCCGTCATCATGCTTTAGCTGGATTGAACCTGGATGGGTTGTACATTGGATGGCTCAAACCAAGCTGACACAAAAAAACACATGGAACCCAAGGAGGTTGCAAAGGATAACCTCTAATCAATTTGCAACACGGTTGGGGACCAAACAAGCTGTCGGGCCAACAGGTACAGGTATGTATATATATATATATTAGTACATACCTAGAAGGAATATTTTAGAAAAACAAAGGAGTGTTCCAAGTACCCAATATTTTAAATTTGCCTTTGACCTTGGAGCCACCCAGTAGGTTTCCGGCACACGTATTGATGTGCAAAGCGCTCAGACACTCCGCCTGAGGTTTGAGCCCATGAAATACAACATACGAAACGCTTGCCGGTTTGCTCCGTCCACATCAGTATTTGTAAACAAGAAGCGAGCTTAGCTTTGGAGAACTGTTGCTACTTGCTCCAGCCCATGCCATTCGTCCAAGTTACGCACTCCGATGGATTAAAGGCCCAGGTCCAGCGATTCGAACCGCCTGTGTCTCAGGATGCATGCTCATCAGATGACGCCCGAGTTCTTGCGGCTCGGTGGCAGGCTTTTGCACGGGGCAGCATGCGTTGGGAACATCATTGGGGCTTTGTTCGCAAACCAATGCCGAAAACCCGCGCATGGTGCGTCTCGGTTTGAGGAAATCCTGTTTTTGGGTTGGACACAAAGGACAACCTAAAGAAACCCAACCATTCTCCGGGTTCCCCATGTCAGCTTGTGTTCAGCTCCTGAGTTCTCGTCGGTGAGTTTTCATCAAGTGGAAATGTGTCAAGCCTAGTCCATCCTTTGTGGACATCTTCAGGTTTTGAATTCGAAAAGACGAGCGCATCATTTGGCAGCTGCCAACTTGCACGCATGCTTGTCATTTCTGTTTTCTCCAGGTTTTTCAATTGGTAGATTGCCAGTTTGCTGGGGCAATTTCGTGTTGATTGGATTCTTAGTGGGCACCAAGATTTCACACTCCCCTGTGAATCCCGAGGTTGGGGATTCCTTTCGGCTTGTCCATTGGCAAGGTTCTAGATCCGGGCTCGGCGCATGCTCAGCCCGCTCTGAGGATCCAGTACTTCTCGCGGCTCGCACCAGACACCGCAGGGGCCTCGGATGGGTCCGATGGATGGCTCGGAAGAGCACGCGGCTCAAAAATTGGAGTCGCGGCTCTTGCGAAGGGACTTGGTGAACCAACTTCACCCGGCTGAAGGTTCCGTGTTGGTTGATAAGTTGATCACCCAGTCTGAGGTTCGCCTGAAAGTGGAGCAGGTTTCGTGAGTGCCTTTGCCTCTAGAAGGAGTCCACTGACCAGGAAGTCCATTTCGGGAGAAAAAGTCTTTTTGGGGCTCCATGCTCATTTCTGATGAGAGCAACATTTTGATATCACGGGGCTTGCTGTCCCTGGACCATTTCGTTCCGTCACGGCGTGCCTGACGTCACAGCGTGTCTTGAAGCTCAGAAGTGAGTTTCAACACCAAACCGGGGGTTGCCCTCTAAATGGGTCTAACCGGGAAGCCTTGGTAGGTCATCGATTGGGGTTTTGGTCTGTATCGCCTTCATTCAACCAGTGAACTCCACACGTGGAACCAGATAGAAAGTCCCTAAAGGGAACTTCCAAATACCCTCAAGCCACGGGAGTCCTGAAACAGGTGGATATCAACAGAGCACCATGCCCTTTGCGTTGATTTTAAGGGACAAGCCTTTCCCTGTACCCGTCAGTTCTTTACCCAGGTAGAGTGTGATGCAACCATCAGTTACTACCCCAAGTTTCCCGTCAGTGACTACACACGCGTTCGGGCCGATGTCCCCCTGGGCAAGCCATTTCCGGTCGAAGATTCGAGGCCTTGGAGTGCCTCACGGATCTCATGCGTCACAACCGACAGAACCTGCAGGTGGCGGTGAAGGCGCTGAAACGCGACGAAACGGCGACGAGACGCGACGAGACGCGAAAAGGTGTGAAAAGGGGGCTGACAAGGGCGGCATTTGGGTTGTGCTGGGTTCATTTTTCCCGTTTGGGGGGTTTTTGCGTGCTTCGGGGGTTTCGGGGGTGCCCACTTTGGCACTTGGCTCAGAGACTGGTGCCCACGAGGCCGATTTGGCCTGGAGGGTCCGACTCAGTTTGACACTTTTTCCCTTCCCCGTAGAATGAAACCCTCCCCCCTAAGAAATGATGGATGAAACAAAAACAACTTGGGGAACGAAGGAACGGATCAGGTCGCAGGGTTGGCTTGCAAGGGTTTATGTATTTGGGGCAGAAATCACATCTTGCCCAACACAAACTGTGAGGGCGAACCATCTTGAGCAAAGTTGCTCACCGGAGTATGTGTCATTTTTTAAAGGGCACCAACATGAACACCGACCATGAGGGGTTCCTATTTTCGACACGACAGACGCCGGCACTGCAACTCGCTTGAATGGAGGCCGAAAAGGCAAATTGTAGCTGGAGGTAGGCATGATTTCCAAGGAGTTGGATCTGAGACGCAGGATTGAACACTGTGCAACTTGCAGGTGGCCATCCAGTACCACGAGCAGATCGGAGCAGTGAAGATTGTCGAGATGTTTGAAAGCTTCGGGTCCAACGAAGGCCGTTCCGACTCGAAGCGAGCCGGCTCTCGGCTGGAGCCGCGGAACTGGGCCCAAGACTCCGGTTGCAAAGAATTTCCCTCCGCTCAGCAGGGATTGTAGGTGAGGGCAGAACGATCCTCTAAAGACGGGTCAGTCGAACCACGAGTCTGTGGGATGTGGGCCTCCAAGAGTAGCATCACTTGCGTGACTTGGGCGTTGAAGCAGCCATTTTAAGGGTTTCTTTGTGTGGCAAGGACATGTTTGGGACCAATCCAATTTTTCCCCCAAGTACATCTGGCACGGATTTTACATTTCTTATCTCCCAACATGTGCTTGTGTAGCCACGACTGCCCGTCTGTGGTCTTAAGGGGCCTTTGAGTGCTTGAACAATCGCTTCCGGCACTGTTTTAGCTTTGACAGCTCACGTTCGGGTAGTATTCGTTTGAAGGGAAGCCTGTCAAACTCGCCATGGCTTGCGACTTGGTTGATTTGCAAAGGGGGAATCCACTGCAGGCATGCCTTTTGGGTATTGCCTTTGCTTCCTTCTCGTTTCCCCTCAGCAGCTATCCAAAAGTTCCCAGCACTGTTGATGCGGTTCGCTCAAAATTGATAGCCATATGGGTTCAACAGTGCTGAACCATTCTCTTCCACCACAAGCAAGCGCAAGCGTGTCATCAAGCCTGACTTAATCCACCACTCACAGCGCGTTGGAGGCATTTTCTACTTCCTCGGTGCAATTTTGAACACCAGCGCGGGCGCCAGTGCCGGATCGAGGAGCGGAAGTGTCAAAATGCTTCGAACGAAGGTGGGGGACTCCTGTCAAGGCAAGTCATCCGATTTGGCGGCCATGCTTTTGGTTGCCTCAGCCGCTTATTTTGCTTTTTTGCCGCACCTGACAAATGCTTATGATGCAGCTATGGAGCGATTCCTGCGAATTGGCCAAGTGGAGCCAAGTGTTTGGCCGAGGCACCGATCCGGATGTGCACTTCAAGTACATTCAGGCCGGACTCACCTGCCGGTGTGGTGGTGGTGTGGTGGAAAGCGCGCGGGAGTTTTGGCGCCAAGGTGTTTTTTTCCATAGAGTCTGGTGGCCGATTCCATCATTTTGAGCGATCTCTTGAAAAGGTGGTTTGGTTCCGTTGTGCGCGAGAGGTGGGACCGATGTCTGACCCCGCCCATTGCAGAAGGATCAGCAGCTTGGCGCCGCTGGGGGTTCAGTCTTGTCATTTCTGGGTTGAAGCGCCCAATTTTCCTCGGGTTTTGCAGGGAGCACGTGGCAAAACGTGCAGAAAGTGGCAAGCCTGGCAAACGCACATGCCACAACAGCAAAAGTAGGAGTTGTGTGCAAGGCAATACCGTTACGCTCAACCTGTCTTGATTGTTTTGTTTCTTCAACATTTTAAAGGTCGGAGTGAACCCAGCCGGGGGCCGTTTCTCTGTAAACACGCGAACGTATAGAAGCCTTTGAACCTACACCTACAACACGGCTAACTTCTTTTTTGTGCATACATTTCTTGTTGTAAACGTTTGGTCAAAACTTTTCAGCATACCCTCGACCCTGTGCCTTGAAAAGCGGAAGGCGGCCAGCCGTGTGGGCAACATGCAGGAGGCGGTTTCGCCTCGAATCGTCGGGTGTGTCGCGTCCTGGTGTGTCGTGTCGCTTGACCCCGCAAATGTGGTTGGCTTCCACACGCAGTCAAGGGTTCCAACATTTTCAGACCCAGGTGGGTTCGAAGAGGTTCTCTTCGCTTGCACTCTAAGAATGTGTGTGGCATCTTGGAATCCAGTGGCCAAAAACTTATGCAGGGTCGTCCAAAGAAAGGACAAGGACTCCTCTGATTTACTTCCGGTTTCACGAGAAACCTACATCCAAAACCCCCAAATCCTTGTCGTTTTCGGACAGTTGGCCGCAGCGACTGCTTCGGAGCCATGGTCTCCCGTGCAAAGGATCTTCCAGGTTTTGGAAGGAAAGGGTCGACTACTTCCCTGCACAATTGATATGGAATGCAGAAAGGGGGGGCATTCTTGTCATGGTTTCAGGGTTCCGGGTTCTTGAACACAGCTTCTGATCTTGCGAGATGGGTTTGCCTCAAATAGAGGAGCATCAAAAATGGTAAGTTTCCTCTTGGTTTTCATTTAGACCAGCCCCAAGAGGGTACACTGAAAAACATACACACCCGCATTCACAGAGGTTCCGCAGCGCAGAGTCCTGGAACTCAAGACTGAGCACGTAAGTCTCGGAAGTCTTCATAGATTTCTTTGCATCTAATGACTAGCACCTGTTTGGAACCCATATCTCTATAATATGTATAATACATATATATATATACATACACAATAATATTGCAAGCCCATTTAGGGCCATCCAAAGTAAGTGACCGAGACACCCCACAAAGGCTTGATTTCCTTTTGCTTTCTCTGAAAGCAAACCAAGCATCTAGAAGGCGTTCTTGATGGGTTATCCTCTAGCGCCACCCAAATTACAGTAGCCAGGCACAAAGGGGGAAATACTTTAAAGGGGCAACAACTGTCATGTATATATATATATATTTATTGCACCTGGGGTGCTAGGGAGCTTTCCTAAACACCGATGGTTTGTTGTCACTCGCGTCGGTTCACAGGTGGAGCGGGTCTGCAGGGAGTCGCAGGTCTACGATCCTGCAGGGCTGCTCAGCAAGCTGCAGCCAGCTGCTTGAGTCACGTCACTCGTTGGAACCGTCCGAAGGCAGCTTCCCTTTCAACTACTGAGGAACTCCGCCAAAAAGACAGTCGCAACCAAGGCAAAGTAGATACAACCTGATTTGCCTTGGTTCATTGCCTTGACACCAGCCCGTCAGAAGAGCAAAGGCGGGCAACAACCCAGTTCAGTCCGCCACCGCCTACCTCTGAAGGGATCAGACACCACAGGCTGTTGTGGGATATGAGCTCTGGAAACGACACATATTGTTTCTTCCAGTAACGAGGAATCAATTTACTTTGTACACTTTTTTTCAAGTGAGTGTGTCGAGATGAGCCTCTGGGCATCGCACGCGTTTGCGAGTTGGATGCAAGTGGGGAGCAAATTTTTAGCTAGATTTCAGGGCCTCTGGAGGCATTCGGAAATGAGGCCTTTTGCTTGAATGCGGCTTCAGGGGACGCGTTGGACGCTAACATCCTGGGTCTTCCGTGGACGAATCTTCAAGCACCGTGCTCTGCCGTGTGGAAGCCAATGTTGACACTGGCCGAAAGCTTTTCTAAGCGCAGATCATGTGACAAGAGTTGGCTCGGATCCCTTCTCGGTTTCACGCGCAGCGACTTGGGCCTGCTTAGCTTCAAGCTTCACGCTCTGCCGACCTCTTGCGACGGAGCTCTCCGCAGACTTTCTGTTTTGCAATTCACTGTGGCGCAAGATACTGTGGTTTGCCCACATTCCTGGGAACAAAACAAAGGAAACAAGACTCATCCTTCCACCAGAACCCATTTCGGGGGGCTCCATATATGTGTCAAAACAGGCGCACCTCCCCTCGAACCTGCAGGGGCATGCTCAAAAAACACGAACCCATATACCGTTATTTCTCAAATTAGAGGAACCCCGAAATGTATCCTTTTAGTTTCCCTTCAAAGCCAAGGAGGGGACCCCTGTCGCAGTTGGAGGCAATCTCCCCTTTTTGTCTGGGGTTTATGGCACCCGCAAGGCACAAAGCCAAGGCCAATTGATGGGTATGTGTCAAAGTGGAGGCACCCCCTCCCGCCAACCCCAAACTGGTGGTTTCCCACCGTAATTTCCCCGCCCTCAACAAAAAGACACATTCTTTTGGTTCCCGCCCCTTGCCATCTCCGCTTGCCCAGAGCGCCGTGAAGAATTTCCTGAAGGAGGCCAAGCTGCCTGGGCCCCAGCTGAGGGCGTTGGGCCAACGCTGGGGGTCTGAGTGAAAGGGGTCAAGTATTGATGCACACGCTTTTTCCTATGGGTCATGACTTAGTTTGGTTTCCAAGGGCGCCCCCCACATTCAAAGTATTTGGCCGGATAGAGTAAGCATGTCGCAACCAGTTGTTTGAACGGGCACCATATGAGATTTCGTTTTACCTTCGGGGGGCATGGTCGGACTGCTCGAGGGCCCAAAGTTACAAGAGATGGAGCCGGATCGGACGAAACTAAGGGAGGCGAAAGACGCCGCAGCGTGTGATTTGATGCATCTTGTTAAACGGCATCAAGGCGGATGTCCAGTGGTTTGGAACCTTTGCTGACCGGAAACCGAACGGAGATCAGCCTCTTGCAGGGGGCCTAGTTTGGGAAACACCTATGTACACCGGGCTAAGCGGTTGATACGTCTGAGGGGAGATTGGTTGAGGCTCTTGATTCAGGCCCAATGTGTTTACCTCACAAAGAGCGGCTTGTAACTGTAGAGTGGACTTGCTCCGAACCAAGAACAGTTCGCAAATCGAGGGATCAAGTTCTGTTTTGCTTACCTATTGCGTCCTGTGGATGTAGGTTCCCCCCAGTCTTTCTCGCTTAGTGACTCGCTGGGGCACATTCGATTGCCTTCATTGCCCTGTGCTCTGTGCTACGTTGGACTATACGACTTGCCCTGACCATAGGTTGGGTCAGAACTTCCAGTTTACGACACATTTGGCAGGGCCATGGGGGAACTCACTAAATTTGCAAAAAAGAAAACGGCCATGGCAATTTTGACCGCCCATGCGAGAGCTCACAGAACCCGTTGCACAGCCCTGCCAACAATGTGACAAGCACCATTCCCATGCGGACAATCGGGCAGCGCCCAAAGCCGCCATTGGCCACTTGAGCAGGTTCTACTGCTTGGTTTTGAGTTGCCACTTTTGGTGATACCAAGGAAATCCTTTGCAACCTGGGCAAATACTCGTGGAGATGGGAATCCCACATTGCACTTTGGCATCACGGAAAGGTTACTCCCCTCCGGATGAACACGGAACCCCAAAAACCCATCAGTTTTTAGAGGCAGACATTTTGGGGCCTCCCTTTGTGGGTTTCCACGCAGTTGCATTGGTTGAGCTCGGCCAATGCTTCGCCCGGAGGCCGGATCCTCGGCCGTTGATCTACGTCTGCGACCTTCATGACTTCGTGGAGGAGTCGCTAGTGAATGGGACCTAGACCTCGAGCTCTTTTCTTGGAAGTCTTGAACAGATTGGTTTCATGGATGCTCTTTTCTACCCCATTGTCTCATTTCGATGACCAAAGGGACAAGTATCTGGAACCCCATGTGGGCCATTTGGAACCGGTTCCAACATTTCGGTGATCTCGTTCCAAGAAGCATCATTGCGTTTGGCCCGTGATCTGGTCACGGCTGGGTTCTGTGTCACAAATTTGGGTGGACACGCAGCGTTGAAGAGTTTGCGGAGGAATGTTCCTGCTGGGTCGCTCTTTTGGCATATTATTTTCGTGGCACTTTCATTTGTCTGCGCAAGTTTGGGAATCCTATGGTTCTGAAAGAGAACTTTTCAGTTGCCGACCGCAAACCTGACCTTTCGATTGTCAATTCGGCCCTGTGTTTCTGGGTGTGGAGTCATCGCTTCACGTGACTCTCAATGCACTCCGGAATGCCACGTCTTAGTTCAGGTAGTTGCAACCAACCTGGGCTTACCCAAACCTGAACCATTTGGACTCTTGGAGTAGACCATCACAAACTCATAGAACGTTGATTTGGTCCAGCACCAGGAGCTCACAGACTACCTCTACAAGAACTCGCTGATGAAGTACATCGAGGCTCGCCCGCGAGTTCAACTTTCGTAGGCCTCACCGCAATGCGCACGTGGCCTTTCAGCGACGTGCCAAGGCATGGCTTGCCCGGATTCCCGCACGTGTGGAAACCAGTACGGACCCAGCAATGGCTCGTTCGAGTGAAAACAAACGTTTGCATGTATCTGACCATCGGAAGTATCCGCATCATAGCTTGGGTGGGTTCCGGTCTGCCACGGAGGTCAAACATGCTCAGGTCCGCCCTCTGAGCTGTGTGTCAGTCAACGCGAGTTTGGAAGGAGTTGTTCTTTGCAATCAGAGGAAAGGCGTAAACACGCGCACAGATGGGCATATATTTCCAATACAAACTCGGGCGATTTGTTTCCCCAAGTCACGGGAGACGGGCCGCGATTGTCCCAGAAATAGTCTCGACTTCAATGGGTTTGCCAGCTTAGTTTGACCCCTCATCCTCCCGCAAACAACCCTGATTATCCTCCCAAAAGCAAGCGTGGTAGGAAACCTCCCATTTGAAAAGGTTCTATGTCAAAGGAGAAGCAGCCCCAGTTTCTGTGTTCTGTTTTTTTGCTGTTCTATTCCAAGGGCAAGCGACCCCTCTGATGAAATGGCTGGTGGGTTTTTCCGTGTCCGCGTCCATGGTGGAATTGGCGGATGACCGTTCGACGCGGCAGGTGTACGTGGTGAAGGTGAACCCTCTGAAGTGCCCACAGGCGAAGAAACGGGGGGGGGGGGGGGGTGGGGGGGTGTCTGGGGGAAAGGGGGGCGGTGGACCAAGTTTTCTGCCCGCAAGTCTGGGCCACAACCAACTTTCAAATTGTTGGGGCATTCCAAACAAAAGGTGCAAGAGCAGTTTAATTTTGGTTTTGGATCTTCGTTTGGCCCCTTGTAAAGGCGGTGCAACCAGAGACCGTTCAGACAGTGGCCTATGGCAAATGTAATGACACGAGCAGAATCCAAGCAATGCTCCTTGCCGAAGTGGACCTGGAGGAATAAGTGGACCACTGAAATGCCGGCACTTGGAGGGCAGGGGAGAATCTCAACCATCAAAAGTTGCGGCACATCTAGGCAAGAAATTGTTGCTAGGAGACTTTCCTTATCCATTCATGGTGACAGTCTCAGTGCCCCTCGTGCATTTCCCACATTTCCAAGCGCCACCCGTTTTTGCACCCCGGGCCATTCTTCTCCCCTCCTCTCAAACAGCAAGTCTCGGCGTTTTCTCAGCTGTCTACCTGACTTGGTTACTTGGGCTATCAAGTTCATGGTGCCCTTTTTGGATCCCCCCATAAATGGGGGCGCAACATGTTCCAGAAGTTTTTCTTGTTTTTACCTATTTTGAAGGTTGATTCAAAAGGAAGTCAACGGGAGAACCGCCTTTTGTTGGGGTGCCAACTCCCTGTTTCGACACATGCGCAATTCTTGGGATTCCAAGCGAGTTGTTTCCGTGGAGGTCATCGGCAGCCTTATCGACCTGGACTGCTCAGAGGACTTCATCAAGACTTTGCTGCAGAATGTCGGGTGGCCTGAGGCAGAAAACCAGGTGTCCCAACACAATTTTTGGGAAACACCGGGTGCTTTTATCAGGTCATTAAAAGCGGACAAAACGGCCTTTGCTTGTTTGGTTGCGAGAAATGTGGCAAAGTGGACAAGTGTCTACCCGGGCTCCGCATTCTCCATTCTCCCGTAGGGCTCACTACGGACCGCTTTCGTTTTTCTTAGTCTGCTCTGTTCGGGAAGCCTCTCTTCGATGTCCTGCTTGAGAAAGAATGATGCTTGAAAAGAGGGAGATGAGATAGTAGCTGGAACTGATTGCCGCGGCTTGGGATGAAGGTGTGGTATGCTCATGTCTGACTTTGACACCGTTTGAGTCCGGGAACTACCATACAAGACATGCTTGGTCTATCACACATGATACAACTGTAGTGTTGTAATTTCTTCTTGATTCATCTTCCCCCATAGATCGCTGATTGATTTGTCACCCATCTTATGGAAACCACCAACCAATCTATCCACTTACTCACCCACCCACAATCAATCTAATAGAACAAATTAAATCAAACTACTCGAAGCAATTGACAGGCAGGCAGGCAGGCAGGCAGGCAGGCAGGCAGGCAGGCAGGCAGGCAGGCAGGCAGGCAGGCAGGCAGGCAGGCAAGCATGCAAACAAGCAAGCGAGCAAACAAGCAAGCAAGCAGCCAAGCAAGCAAACTGGGTGTCCTCATTTAGCAACAATCATCCACAAAAGTGAGAGGCCTTGGCACCGACTTTTCTTTCGCCTTCCGCCTTTGGAAGTGCTGCTTTCGAATAAAACACCCAACGGCTTCGGCGCGCCGTGTCGGCTGAGGTCCGGGCTGCTTGCCCAGCAGAGCCCCTCGTGGAGCAGATCGAGAAGAGGAGCGCGAGCGGCAGACAGCAGAGCCCTTTGCGGATGTCTCAAATGGGTCTGTGTCAAGATAGGGTATAGACTAAAGCGTGCGGTTTGCCCCAGCTGTTTTTCCTGGCGACATCAAAAAGTGAGGAAACCTCCATAGCTCGTCTCAGAAAAGCCACAACAACAAAAAACACGGGTGGATTCCATGTTGGTGTTCCTGTGAGTCGAAGCCGCAAAGGCATTCTCAAAAGAAGAGACACCCGAGTGGGATGTTGTCATATGCACAGATCAATTGATGTATAATAATGTGAATACTAGCTGATTGCCACTCGTGATTTTTATGCGAGCGGGGTGTCACACAAACTATCGAATTGAAAGGGTGTCCAAGACTATGCAGTGGGAAAATGCAGGGCTCCCGTGAAACAATTTTGGAAGGGGGTCTCCGAAAGGGCAGTGTTCGAAACCCGGGGGCCCAAACGGGGCCAGAAAGCGGCTCCTTTTGTCGGAGTTTGCCAGCTCCACATGGGTTTCTGTTTTAAGTTCCTCCCAAAAGTAGCTTCCCGATTTCCGGCAATGCCCTCGTTGGTCATGGAATCCTTACGGACTCATCAGGGTCAGATGGTGCAATTCCTCCCCATTTTGGAATGACGTCATCTCCTTTTTCGCCGTCGACTTTCACCGGCAGTTTAGAGGAACTAGTGCCTGGTGGAACATTTTTCTCCAAGAACTGCCAGGAATGTTCCTCGAACTCGTCGTCACCGTTCCACCCACCCGAGGAACAAACAACATATTCTCCGGTCGCGTCTGCGAAGACGCGCCTGTCTGCAGGAACCGGCTGCGCTTGCTGCTGCCTTGGCTGGAGGCCCGAGTGGCTGAGGGCAACCAGGACCGGTTGCGCGAGACGGGAGGGAGGGGGAGGGAGGGGAGGGGGAGTTCTCCAAATCGGGGGGACCCTGAAAATGGTCGGTTTCCTTTGTTTCCTTTTTGTTTTTTGTTTTGGGGGGGACATTTTCCTTTGGGTTTCCCCGGAAATGCCAACCAACAGGGGCTCGACGCAGCATTTTGAGAAGCTTCCATAGGGGGTTTGGACCAGCCGCAGAACGGCAAAAGCATTCCTACGAAGAAGCAGCTTATCTCATGTTCCTCCGAGAATGGGTCGTGTGTCCCTTGGGTTTCCCTTTGTTTCGCACATGTGGCCAGTGGATCATTGGCAAGGAGCCCAAGCGGTGCTTGGGACGGACAGCTTGCAGCATTTCGTCAAATGAGTGTTGACCCCCTTTCTCTTTTGAGAGGTGTTAGTCTGGGGGATTCCAGGTTAATTTGCAGAGCAGTCATCTCCCGAATTTCGCCATTTCTACGTGTACCAGCAGATAGACTGCTTCGCTTTGCAGGACCCACACCTGCACAACGCCATGGCAAAGTTGCGGCCTCGTGAAAAAGGGGAGAGGAGCAAGTACGTTTGACCGGGTCATGCCCAGCCGCAAGTGGCATTCCGCCTGTTTAGATCGGAAGGATGTTGACTCCAGATTAGCACACCCTTCACATTAATGGGAGGATGTTCCCCCTAAAAGGGATGAGTCCCCACTAAAAGGGGACATCCCCCCAATGAAAGTCAATTAGGTTCTACTTAGATCGTAGATCGGTGACACTGCAGGTGTGACCTGCCAGTCACTCGGCAAATCTGGGTGACTTGATCTGACACTGTTCGATTTGGTTTAGTTGCTCGGGAAATTGACTTTCAAGACTTTGAGGGACAATTGACTGCCTTAGACTTCTTTTTTTCAGAGCTCGCCCAAATGGTGCAGAGAAGGGCTGAGCCACAAAAGGAGATGGGGAAGACTGGAACATGTTTCAGTCTGCGAGGAAACCGTGGAGCACGGTTTCTGTTTCCGAAACCGGTTTCCAGCTTGGAGCTTCTACCCCAAACACAAAGTCAACACACAGAGGGTTTCTTTGTCTGGCCCGTCAGAGGCAAAGAGAGTTTGTTGGTTAAGGAAGCGGGAGAGGGGGGGGAGGGAGTCCGAATTTCCCACAAACACTAGGGGAACACCAAAATTTGCCCATGCGCCCGAAGGGGAAACAACATTGTCTGTGCATCATATGGGGTCTCTAAATCGACCCCACCGAAGTAGATCCAAGCATAGCCTCAAAGACACTTTATCACACTTCTGAGACTCTCAGGCTCTCAGATTTCAAGGTGGAAAGTTGTTGCCACATGTTTCCTCATGTATGCCGTGTCTTCCTTGACTTTCTTGGTTCACGTTCCAATCCGTGTGAAGAGGGGGCCCCGACTTGGTGCCGGGAGCCCTATGGATGCAGCTGTTCGAGTGATGCGCCTCAGGATCCTCATCGACACGAACCGCGACCCGGAGAACTTCCTGAAGACCAACGCCTTCTATGACTCAAAGATCGTGGGCAAGTGCACCGGGGGGGGGGAGTGGGGGACTATTTGGGCAGGGGCTTCCCTCAAACAGCTGCTCCATGGATTCCATTTCTCCCGGCCTTCGAAACATGTTGCCCCTTTGAAAGGGCTTTCATGTGTTTGCCCTCAGGGCCACTCAGAACCTGGCTCCTTTGTACGTCAACTAGACATCTCAGGATTGATGGATGCAAGGTGTCCCTTGAACTTGCGCAGGGATCGCATCTTTTGCCTTTCGTTGGCACCTGGTGGAGAAAATTGCTGGCCTCATTCTTGATTGTTTCTTTTTGGCAGGCTATTGAGTGACCACTGGTCAACACACAAAGTTGTAATTTGTTTGGCTGTTTGTCCTTGTATTGGATGGCTTTGCTTGTAAAACCAAGCCAAGCATTCATCCGAGCCCCCTTGAAGCAAGCAAAGCGCTCCTTGTCTCCTTCAAGGAGCAAACGCAAAGTGAACCCCCACAAGCATGCATATGCACGTACAGCCATTTACACACCTTGATACTTGGGCGTGTCTCTTTTGGGAGGCCTCCTTTTGGTCGATTGGTTAGAAGGGAAACTCAACGGGGGCGAGCCACTTTGGGGGCACTACTTTTGAGACAAACCTGTTTCACACGAGTTTTGGGGAACATGCTCGGAGCGCAGGTACTGCGAAGACAGAGACCCCCACTTGGCATACACGGCCCGAGCCCCGCGCGGGAACGGCCCCGTCACTTTGGGTTTTTTGGTGCTTATTTGGGAAGCTTTTTCTATTCCCCAGTGAACCTTTGAAAGGTTGGACCTTTGGCGGGCAGACCCACTCAGACTCATGGCTAGCACAACAGTACAGACAGGCCACCAGTCTTGATCAGGATTTGTGTTCTTTGGCCAGCATTTGTTTGGATTGGCTCGCTTTTTTGGAGCGGCCTGTTTTTGTGGCAATGGAAAGCCTGTTGGCGCGGACATATTGCGTTGTCAGGTTGGCCCTCCACATATTTTTGGATTTTCTTTGTGTGGCGCAGGATTTGGTATCCTCCCTTCAAGAATTGGCTGGTCAAGAGACTTGGGGATAGGGATGACAATCTACTTTCCACTCCAAGTGGAGAGAAGGTTCTGTTGACTTGCTGGTGCTCAGTAGGGAATGACCCAGGGTTTGGGAATGATCCTAGGGATTCCCAGAAAGGAAACTATAGCGGATGGTTTTTCTCGGGATCATTCCAATCCTCATTTCCTGCTGAGAACCAGCAGGTCATTCACCTCCATGTGGGTATGGGTCAAAATTAAACCGTCAGGGGACCACAGGTTTTGGTCCATGTTTCCATTTACCAGGATTCAATTTTGGGCACATATTTTTGACCCATGTGGGAAAGAGGGTCGGAACACTTGGCGCCGAGGCGTACAAGCGGGCCTGGGGCTCCTGCGATGAGGCCGGCTTCTTCCGCGCCGACGCGCTTCCGTCGGTTATTTGGGCCGTTGGTCAATGGGGTAGGGGTTTTTCGGGAAGCCCTTTCCTTGGCTTGGCTCAAATTGAAGACAGCTAGACATACGCAGGTTTTGGTCTTGGTTTCCATGTGCCAAGGTGCCATTTTGGTACATTGTTTTGAGCCATAGCCACCTACAAGATCAGTTTCCCTTTTGGGTCACAGTTAGTAGCCAGCTAAAAGCTTGCCCCTCACTTTGGGACGGGTGACGGGTACACCCGTCACCCGTATCGTTCCAAGGAGAGCCAAACGTGGAATGGTTCGCAGGTCTGTAAACAAGCCGCTGTCGCCTTGCACTAGCTTAGGCAAAAAATGCGACTCACCAAAGCGGACATTTGCTTTTGCAGGCGTTTCTCAATACTTGATTTGGGCCACCATTTTAAAGCCTCATGTTGTGAATGTCACTTCCAACGTATTCAGCCGCCTTTGGCATGTTGTGTCGTCCCAGCCGGTTCCTTGCGGTGGGAAGGCGATCTCGCGCAGATGAGCAAAACCGAGACAAAGAAGGGTTTCCCTTTTGGCGGGATCTTCAGAGGTAAGTTGAGCATCCCTTTGCGAGTGATCCGCATTGGAAGGTGCCAGGCTTCGTGATTTCCGGATTGGGGTGTTTTTTTAACATTGGAATCGCACCCACATGATTTCGGCTTTCCCCTTGGTTTCCGTTTTCAGTAACCCCAAGAAGGGTACCATGAAAGCAGACAGACCCATTTCGGTTCGGGATTTCGATACCTCCCGTGCCCCGCCCAGCAACTGGTGGACGTCACCAACCGGAATGGCCTCTTCCGACTGCAAGCCAGGCGAACCGGGAGATGCATTGATTTATGGCACCTGTTTGATTGATTTTCGGCGGAAGATCGCAAATGGTTTGAATTTGCAATTGAGGCTCAACTTGTTTTGGTGAGCTGTCGGAGTTCCCCTGAAGTTGGGCTCGGCAGGAAGCCTACTAACAAATTCTAATCGAGTATTGGGAAGTTTTGACTCTGAAGAAAGCATATATAAATGCATGTAAATATGTATATATATATATATACGTATATACTAGTAGAGTGCATTTATTCGGAGCGGGAAGCAACCAGACAAACTCAATTGGGGCCCTGCAAGCACATTTTTGTTCACCGATTGCCTCCCACAACAGCCGTGTCAAGGTTCTCGTCAAGCGGCATCCCTTGAAACGCGCCTCATCAAAGTATAAGACGCTGTGCGCAGGTAGTGTAGAACACGTACCATGGTGCAACAAGGACCCTTTGCGACTCGGCTTTTCACCATACCGGCAACTTCTGTGCGCCGATTGGTGCAATGCCATGTGAACCCCCCGATACCCAGTGGGACATTGCCATGGGGAGTACAATTTGGGGCTTCTTTTCGCGAGCCATGTTTCCCTAACACCATTTCCACTGATCCACCTGAAGAGGGGGCGGGTTTGAATCAGGTGTCGATCGTGGAAGAGCTTTCGGGCCAGTTTCGAAATACCAAACAAATCCCTTTCAACCCGACGAGGGAAGGAGGCCCATCGACCCTTTCTGAGGACCCACATATGGGAAATTGGGGGAGGGTGTGCGCTCTGTGTGTTTGTGTGTGTGTGTGTGTGTTTGTGTTTGTGTGTTTGTTTGTTTGTTTGTTTGTTTGTTTGTTTGTTTGCCTGAGGGCGCTAGAGACCAAAATGGGTTGGAATCGTTCCACGAGCGCCGCATTCGCCAGATATCTGGTGGAGCGGCAGAGCCCGGATCTGTGGGCCTTGGTGCTGACGCCAGACAACCAGGACTGGGTGGGTTGGGAACACTCGAGCTGGAAAAACAAAGCGTTGTATGTGTCAGTGTAAGGTATGATTTCAGTTGTTTTGGACCTATCAAATCAGCTGCACCGCCGCTTGTAATTTGAAAGGCAGGAGTGTGTTGCAGGAGCGGCCGCAGGAGCACAAATCCCATTTTGGAAGACAACTGACCTTTGGAAGAGGACGACCCTTGCAAGTTGGACAAGTGAGCGACTCGCTTTCATGTCTCTTACAAGTTGGACAAATGCAACTTTTGCTTAAAATTTGGACGAACACATATCAAATGTACATCAAGGTGCAAAGGGCAATTCGGAGAGGGTAACTGGGCAAAATACATCCAAATGTCCACGAAGTCACTTTGGAGAGTGTCACCTACGGGTGACCCAAGTGAGAATAAGGGGGAGGGGAAATGCAGCCAGAAAGACACCAACCATTCGAGACATGCTAAAGGACGTCTTTCTGGGGTCGTACCACTGAAAGCCCTTTGCTTCACGGTGTCAGGGCAGTGGACAGAAGCCATTCGTACAAAGTTCCTTACTTCAGGTACATCCCGGCCATTTGAACTGCTCCCAGCACAGGAGGGAAAGATGTTTGTCGATCCTTGGCGGAATTTCACGACATGTGAGAGGAGGCTTGTTTGATTTCACGGGTCATTTGTAAGTTTGTTGAGATCAGCATGACAGGTCTGGCAGCTGGTGAGCAATGGTTGCACTGAGACTAATAGTGTATGGAGACAGCAAGGAATGCGCTTCCTAAGATTTGGCTCTCCTTGTAGAGGATTTCAAGGAAAACACGGTGTATAGATTTGGACAACCCGACATGATCCAACATGAGGCATTTTGCTTAAAACCTGGGACCCCTAAAAACTTTGGTCGCCTCGTCTTTTTCCGTGAATTGCATGCGCCAACACGGGGGATCCTGTGTTCCCTGGTCAGTGGTACTCTGTGTCCCTCTCCTGAATCAACCATCAATCCAACTCACTTGCCCAAAGCCGACCTTGTGATCTTTCGGTTTCCCCTTCTTGGCCACCATTTTTCCTCCTGGCCCCCAATTGACGACTTTTCACTTCTGGGCGCTTTGGGCCACTGACCCACATCCAGCTCCGCCCTCGCCGGTTTGGGCGGACCCAAGGGTTCAGTCCACTCGCCGCCAGTACCGCCGCAACGTGATCGACCAAGTCGTTAGCACCGCGTTGCCGGAGTCCACCAACGCCGACGAGGCACCAAAAATCCGGCGGCCTTTGGGCGGCGGTTTGGGCGGTTTGGGTTGTCCATGTGACCTTCACTTCGGTGTTCTTGTGGGTTGCAAACCGTTTAGTGTAGGAATCTTGTGGATTCTACAAGGCAGCCATCTTCTGCTTGTTGTTCTTGTGGATTGTGGGTCAACCCAGCTTGGTCCACGGTTTTTACCCTGAGTAGGTTGGCTTGTAGGTGTTTCAGGCACCCCCCTTGCCTCACCTTTGGTTGCAATGCCAAACCTCACCTTTTGGTTGCCGATGTCAAGTTTTTGTTTGGGCCCACCAGATTTCCCCGGATGTTTCGAGGGAGAAACGACTACAAGATGAATGGAAGGAGCCCAAAAACGGGACACCTTTCCCCGAGAAGAGATTCTGACATCTGCATACAACCGAGTGTATTTTGGGTTCCATAGTCGTGTTCTGGAGTGTAGCTGATGTGTGGTTGCCACAACAACAACACGTCTGTGAGTAAGCCATTGCCACAACTCCGAGCGCGGCTGGAACCTGTGAGGGCAAGATTGGTGGCTGAGCAACAAACCTGGTTCCGTTGGGCAAGGCCGAAAGGGTTGTCTAAGCTTCCATTTGTTTAAGAATGTGTGCTATTTCCTCTGTTGGTTTCAATAGGAATCTATCACTACTGGACATTTTCTTTTTTGCTCAGGGGACTTAGACAAACTTATGAAATTGTTAGTATAGCCGTATAGCTTAAATAGCTTGCTAAGTTTATTGGATTGCTTTTACGGCAAGGTTATGCTTTCTTGTATGTTGAAGGGTGTTTTAAATGGTTAATGTTGATGCATGTTTGGAGTTTGGCTGTTATAAAAAACACATTTTGGTGGTATTTCGCTTTGCTGGCGGTTTAAAGAGGCATTTTTAAAAACATTTCTTTCCTGGAGTCTTTGTGCGATGAAACATCTTTTGTATACTTTGTGGTTCGCTCTGCAGCGCCCTTAGCCACGCCATATCCGCCAAACGTATTTGGGTTCGATTGCAGAATCACAGGACCAAACGGCAAGCAGAAGCTTTGGTTGGGTGAGTCCGTAGTAACCAGCTTCTTCACTTGCAGCTATTGATTTGCACCGTTATTGGAAATAATGGGTCCACACTGTCTTCAAGCTGACCTGGGCTGTTGTGAGAGCCCCGGTAGGGCAACCAGGTGAGTTTGTTGTGTAGAGCTCGACGGGCGCATGTGCTTGAGCGTGGTAAGTTGTGGCAGCATGCATATCCCACAAAAGATGTTGTGTGGGCGGCATGATGAGGAAGCCTTGAATTACCACAGTTCTGAAGCTAAGTTGAGTGACTTCCAAGAACCGTACTGACTTCAAGCTGACCTGCCCTGTTGTGAGCCCCGGTAGGGCACCCAGGTGAGTTTGTTGTGTAGAGCTCGACGGGTGCATGTGCTTGAGCGTGGCAACTTGTGGCAGCATGCATATCCCACAAAAGATGTTGTGTGGGCGGCATGATGAGGAAGCCTTGAATTACCACAGTTCTGAAGCTAAGTTGAGTGACTTCCAAGAACCGTACTGACTTCAAGCTGACCTGCCCTGTTGTGAGAGCCCCGGTAGGGCACCCAGGTGAGTTTGTTGTTTAGAGCTTGATGGGTGCATTTGCTTGAGCGTGGCAACTTGTGGCAGCATGCATATCCCAAGAAAGATGTTGTGTGGGCGGCATGATGAGGAAGCCTTGAATTACCACAGTTCTGAAGCTAAGTTGAGTGACTTCCAAGAACCGTACTGACTTCAAGCTGACCTGCCCTGTTGCGAGAGCCCCGGTAGGGCACCCAGGTGAGTTTGTTGTGTAGAGCTCGACAGGTGCATGTGCTTGAGAGTGGCATCTGTGGCAGCATGCACATCCCATAGAAGATGTTGTGTGGGCGGCATGATGAGGAAGCCTTGAATTACCACAGCTCTGAATCTAAGTTGAGTGACTTCCAAGAACCGTACTGACTTCAAGCTGACCTGCCTTGTTGTGAGAGCCCCTTTGAGCGTGGCAACTTGTGGCAGCATGCATATCCCAAGAAAGATGTTGTGTGGGCGGCATGATGAGGAAGCCTTGAATTACCACAGTTCTGAAGCTAAGTTGAGTGACTTCCAAGAACCGTACTGACTTCAAGCTGACCTGCCCTGTTGTGAGAGCCCCGGTAGGGCACCCATGTGAGTTTGTCCACAGTTCTGAAGCCAAGTTGAGTGACTTCCAAGAACCGTACTGACTTCAAGCTGACCTGCCCTGTTGTGAGAGCCCCGGTAGGGCACCCAGGTGAGCGTGTTGTGTAGAGCTCGACGTGTGCATTTGCTTGAGCGTGGCAACTTGTGGCGGCATGCATATCCCAAGAAAGATGTTGTGTGGGCGGCATGATGAGGAAGCCTTGAATTACTACAGTTCTGAAGCTAAGTTGAGTGACTTCCAAGAACCGTACTGACTTCAAGCTGACCTGCCCTGTTGTGAGAGCCCCGGCAGGGCACCCAGGTGAGTTTGTTGTTTAGAGCTCGATGGGTGCGTTTTCTTGAGCGTGGTAACTTGGCAGCATGCATATCCCACAAAAGATGTTGTGTGGGCGGCATGATGAGGAAGCCTTGAATTACCACAGTTCTGAATCTAAGTTGAGTGACTTCCAAGAACCGTACTGACTTCAAGCTGACCTGCCCTGTTGTGAGAGCCCCAGTAGGGCACCCAGGTGAGTTTGTTGTTTAGAGCTTGATGGGTGCATTTGTTTGAGCGTGGCAACTTGTGGCGGCATGCATATCCCAAGAAAGATGTTGTGTGGGCGGCATGATGAGGAAGCCTTGAATTACTACAGTTCTGAAGCTAAGTTGAGTGACTTCCAAGAACCGTACTGACTTCAAGCTGACCTGCCCTGTTGTGAGAGCCCCAGTAGGGCACCCAGGTGAGTTTGTTGTTTAGAGCTTGATGGGTGCATTTGTTTGAGCGTGGCAACTTGTGGCGGCATGCATATCCCAAGAAAGATGTTGTGTGGGCGGCATGATGAGGAAGCCTTGAATTACTACAGTTCTGAAGCTAAGTTGAGTGACTTCCAAGAACCGTACTGACTTCAAGCTGACCTGCCCTGTTGTGAGAGCCCCGGCAGGGCACCCAGGTGAGTTTGTTGTTTAGAGCTCGATGGGTGCGTTTTCTTGAGCGTGGTAACTTGGCAGCATGCATATCCCACAAAAGATGTTGTGTGGGCGGCATGATGAGGAAGCCTTGAATTACCACAGTTCTGAATCTAAGTTGAGTGACTTCCAAGAACCGTACTGACTTCAAGCTGACCTGCCCTGTTGTGAGAGCCCCAGTAGGGCACCCAGGTGAGTTTGTTGTTTAGAGCTTGATGGGTGCATTTGTTTGAGCGTGGCAACTTGTGGCGGCATGCATATCCCAAGAAAGATGTTGTGTGGGCGGCATGATGAGGAAGCCTTGAATTACTACAGTTCTGAAGCTAAGTTGAGTGACTTCCAAGAACCGTACTGACTTCAAGCTGACCTGCCCTGTTGTGAGAGCCCCGGTAGGGCAGGTGAGTTTGTTGTGTAGAGCTCGACAACTTGTGGCAGCATGCATATCCCACAAAACATGTTGTGTGGGCGGCATGATGAGGAAGCCTTGAATTACCACAGTTCTGAAGCTAAGTTGAGTGACTTCCAAGAACCGTACTGACTTCAAGCTGACCTGCCCTGTTGTGAGAGCCCCGGTAGGGCACCCAGGTGAGTTTGTTGTTTAGAGCTTGATGGGTGCATTTGCTTGAGCGTGGCAACTTGTGGCAGCATGCACATCCCATAGAAGATGTTGTGTGGGCGGCATGATGAGGAAGCCTTGAATTACCACAGTTCTGAAGCCAAGTTGAGTGACTTCCAAGAACCGTACTGACTTCAAACTGACCTGCCCTGTTGTGAGAGGCCCGGTAGGGCACCCAGGTGAGTTTGTTGTGGAGAGCTCCACGGGCGCGTGTGCTTGAGCGTGGCAACTTGTGGCAGCATGCATACCCCACAAAACATGTTGTGTGGGCGGCATGATGAGGAAGCCTTGAATTACCACAGTTCTGAAGCTAAGTTGAGTGACTTCCAAGAACCGTACTGACTTCAAGCTGACCTGCCCTGTTGTGAGAGCCCCGGTAGGGCACCCAGGTGAGTTTGTTGTGTAGAGCTCGACGGGTGCACGTGCTTGAGAGTGGCAACTTGTGGCAGCATACATATCCCACAAAAGATGTTGTGTGGGCGGCATGATGAGGAAGCCTTGAATTACCACAGTTCTGAAGCTAAGTTGAGTGACTTCCAAGAACCGTACTGACTTCAAGCTGACCTGCCCTGTTGTGAGAGCCACAGTAGTGTGGCCCAGGTGAGTTTGTTGCTTAGAGCTTGACGGGTGCATGTGCTTGAGAGTGGCAACTTGTGGCAGCATACATATCCCATAAAAGATGTTGTGTGGGCGGCATGATGAGGAAGCCTTGAATTACCACAGTTCTGAAGCTAAGTTGAGTGACTTCCAAGAACCGTACTGACTTCAAGCTGACCTGCCCTGTTGTGAGAGCCCCGGTAGGGCACCCAGGTGAGTTTGTTGTGTAGAGCTCGACGGGCGCATGTGCTTGAGCGTGGCAACTTGTGGCAGCATGCATATCCCACAAAAGATGTTGTGTGGGCGGCATGATGAGGAAGCCTTGAATTACCACAGTTCTGAAGCTAAGTTGAGTGACTTCCAAGAACCGTACTGACTTCAAGCTGACCTGCCCTGTTGTGTGAGCCCCGGTAGGGCACCCAGGTGAGTTTGCTGTTTAGAGCTTGACGGGTGCATGTGCTTGAGAGTGGCAACTTGTGGCAGCATGCATATCCCACAAAAGATGTTGTGTGGGCGGCATGATGAGGAAGCCTTGAATTACCACAGTTCTGAAGCTAAGTTGAGTGACTTCCAAGAACTGTACTGACTTCAAGCTGACCTGCCCTGTTGTGAGAGCCCCGGTAGGGCACCCAGGTGAGTTTGTTGTGTAGAGCTCGACGGGTGCATGTGCTTGAGCGTGGCAACTTGTGGCAGCATGCATATCCCACAAAAGATGTTGTGTGGGCGGCATGATGAGGAAGCCTTGAATTACCACAGTTCTGAAGCTAAGTTGAGTGACTTCCAAGAACTGTACTGACTTCAAGCTGACCTGCCCTGTTGTGAGAGCCCCGGTAGGGCACCCAGGTGAGTTTGTTGTGGAGAGCTCCACGGGTGCATGTGCTTGAGCGTGGCAACTTGTGGCAGCATGCATATCCCACAAAACATGTTGTGTGGGCGGCATGATGAGGAAGCCTTGAATTACCACAGTTCTGAAGCTAAGTTGAGTGACTTCCAAGAACCGTACTGACTTCAAGCTGACCTGCCCTGTTGTGAGAGCCCCGGTAGGGCAGCCAGGTGAGTTTGTTGTGTAGAGCTCGACGGGCGCATGTGCTTGAGCGTGGCAACTTGTGGCAGCATGCATATCCCACACAATATGTTGTGTGGGCGGCATGATGAGGAAGCCTTGAATTACCACAGTTCTGAAGCTAAGTTGAGTGACTTCCAAGAACCGTACTGACTTCAAGCTGACCTGCCCTGTTGTGAGAGCCCCGGTTGGGCACCCAGGTGAGTTTGTTGTTTAGAGCTTGATGGGTGCATTTGCTTGAGCGTGGCAACTTGTGGCAGCATGCATATCCCACAAAACATGTTGTGTGGGCGGCATGATGAGGAAGCCTTGAATTACCACAGTTCTGAAGCTAAGTTGAGTGACTTCCAAGAACCGTACTGACTTCAAGCTGACCTGCCCTGTTGTGAGAGCCCCGGTAGGGCACCCAGGTGAGTTTGTTGTTTAGAGCTTGATGGGTGCATGTGCTTGAGCGTGGCAACTTGTGGCAGCATGCATATCCCACAAAACATGTTGTGTGGCGGCATGATGAGGAAGCCTTGAATTACCACAGTTCTGAAGCTAAGTTGAGTGACTTCCAAGAACCGTACTGACTTCAAGCTGACCTGCCCTGTTGTGAGAGCCCCGGTAGGGCACCCAGGTGAGTTTGTTGTGGAGAGCTCCACGGGTGCATGTGCTTGAGCGTGGCAACTTGTGGCAGCATGCATATCCCACAAAACATGTTGTGTGGCGGCATGATGAGGAAGCCTTGAATTACCACAGTTCTGAAGCTAAGTTGAGTGACTTCCAAGAACCTTACTGACTTCAAGCTGACCTGCCTTGTTGTGTAGAGCTCGACGGGTGCATGGGTGTACTTGGAAGCCCAGCCAGTTCTGGGGCGGTTTCAGCCAGCGAAAAGAACCACCATCAGAGTTGGCCTTTTTATGTCATGTTGGTTTTGGCAATAGATGGCAGTGGTTGCAGGTTGGTTCTAGTTACTCAAAGGACACCTATGACCACCCCCCCTATTTTTTTTCCTTCGGGGGGGGGGCTGTATTAGCATACACACACACACACACGCCACATGTTTCCTTTCAACCACCATTCTGTGGTGTCCTTTTTCCCATCAATGGAAGTTAAAGTAGCCTTCCAAAACCTTCCGATCGTCAGTTTCCAATCAGGTGGTCTTGCTGTCGACATGCTTGGGTTCGCACCCACTTCCCGATTCGCAGCCGGCACCGAAACAAGTGTCAGGTGTCTGCCACAGTGAAGGCGTTTATCAGCCCGGTGGCCCAGTGCTAGGAGATGCTGTTGTTTTTTTCTTCACAGCGGGGAATCCAAATTCTCAGGTAAACCTTAGTGTTTCGCCAAGTTTGCTGGGAGTTGGTGCGGATGGTCATCAGTCAGGTAGGGACTTTAGACAGCCGTTAGAAGGGTATTTACTAAAAACATGACCACAAGAAGCGAGTTTTGAACATGACACATATTTTGGGTATGGACCCCTTGATGGGAAACGATTTATGTTGATTTTCTGTCTAATCATTTATCAGGGTATTCCGAGCGGTTTTCTGCCAGCGCGCTGTTTTCTATTCTCACTCCCCTTCCAAATCCAACAGAGGGTGCTTTGGTTTTGCTCCTGGCCATTCCAGGTCTGCGGGGAGTCTGACGCGTGCGACTGAACCTCTAGCAGGGCTGCCTCTGGGACACTCCACAAAAGCACGTTCGCTTCGCCTGTGTTCCACGTGAGCCTGGCGCCACAGGGAGCTCGAAGGGAAACCCATGCTGAGGATCCAAATCCATGCTGTTGAGACTACTCGGTTTTACATTGAATGTTCTGGGCCTGTCTTTGCTTGAGGGCATCCGGTCTGTGGCTTTAAATCAGACTCAACAATATATCGATTTTTGTAAGGTCCAATTTTTGATTTGTGAAACCCACCTACATTGAATTCATATGGGTTTGTTTTTGTTTGAGGGGGCACCCTTTTTGCCTGAGTTTAACGTGGGCTCCAACGGGCATCATCCTCTTACGGCAAGCCCACGAAAAAGACGCGCCCTCCCGCCCCTCAACCAAATAGACATCGGCCATTTTGGGTTGGTCCCCTGATTTTGATCTCCACCCCCTTGCCCTTGAGAAGGGAACACCCCCGACCTCGCCGATGACTCAGGCGCGGATCTGCCCAACGAGCTCATCGAGCTGCTGGAGAAGATCGTGCTGCATAATTCCGACTTCAGCCGCTCAAACCAAAGAGGCAAATCTCATACACACAAGACACACTCACACATATATATATATATATGTATACATACACATATAGTCACATACATACAATATATACATACATATATGTATATGTATATATATATATAGTTGCAATATGCATATGAGCCACGGTCAATCCTTATTGTGTGTCGCGAGGACACTGGACTTTGACAAGTACCTCCATTCTCTGGTGGCAATTTGGTGCTTGTACCCAATGTCATTCCCTTGGCTACAGTAGATGACGGTGCATATCCGCCATTGCTCATATGTGTATAATCATGCACATATATATATATATACATATCTATATCTCTATATTTGTATATGTGTTTCTATATGTATGATTCTATCCATCCATCTATCTATCTATCTATCCATCCATCTATCTTATTCCCCAGATAGCTGAAAGCTATGGGGGTTCTAACTTCTAATCAAAAAGGGAAAGTGTTTTGAGAAATTGACGGCTGGGTGCTAGGTAGGTTTGGGGTGCTGGTGCAGGTTCTGTTTTGGGGCGCTGGCGCAGGTGCTGTTGGAAGTGCTGGTGACGGTGTGTGGGGAGGGAGGGCATTTTTGCAAGATTGACAGCTGGGGTGCTGGGTGTGTGCAGATGCAGTTTTGGGGCTTTGTTGCGATTGGAAGTTCTGAATGGCTTGAGTCGCCTTTGCGGCCTAGGTCGAGGGTGCAACATTTTGACCTGTTCTACGCTATTTGGGGTCTACGCTGTTGTAGTCTTATCTTTTCGGCTGACCTTATCTTATGTTATCCTATCCTATCCTATCCGATCCTATCCTATCCTATCCTATCCTGCTATACGTACATTTATATATGTATACACATACACATATTTTCTTTATTATATCTTAATACCCTTAATGTCTACATAGCCCATAAATCTATTTAAACAGATATTCGGCTGCCTATGTGTGTCTGAGATGCGGTATGTAGTATGGGATATGTAATATGTAATATGTAATATGTGACATGTGACATGTGTTGCAGAGTATGCAATGTAATGTGTAATGTGTGCCATGTCATATACACATAGTATTTTGTTCCTAGCAACTATCGATTAGTAGTATTTATATGTTAACTCATATGTATGTGTATGCATGTTGTGTGCAACAGATATTATTATGAATGAACATTTATCCTCAAACGGCGGCGAGCTTGTGGGAGGTGTTTTGTTCGGTTTGCTGGTGGCAAAGCTCTCGCCACCCCAGTTGGGGGAAAGGAGATGTATTGGGCCTTATCAGCGAAGAAGAATACTTCTGAGATACTGTGGATGGACAAATTCCACTTAAATCAACAGCTAGTAGGTGGTTTATCCCGCTATTCATATGGCTGCGAACACATCACGCGTGTGGGCTTTTGGATTGATTTTGCAAAGGACATTAAGCAAAGCACCACCCATTCCCTACATAATTCCACTTCTGGCTTGTATGGGCTGGTTCCCATATTGGCAATTGACAAGGTTGGCAAGGCGGACAAGTGACAGGAGTCCGTTTCCTCTGCGGGCCAAGAGGCGACCTCAATCGCAGTAATTATTGCAGAAGACAAACAGCCTGCTGATTGGTGGGTGTTTGGACTCTTGCCCTCCCACCCACCACCTTTTTTGGCCCATGAGGGATGTCATTGTCATAGGTTCTCATGGAGTGCAATTCGATCATGCGTTCTGATTGGTATTGTCATGGCATGTGGATGGTATCCAAAGTTACAAAGTTGCTTAATACGGATGTTCCCATGGGAGGTAAATGAGCACATCTGGGAGGAAGCTCCCGATCGGCGTGTCAAAAGCCTAGGGAACCATGCCTGGTGGTTTGGTCCGAGTATTGCAGGCCCAGGGGATTTCTTCCCAGATTTCATGTTCCAATCACGAATCCACGCTGCCAAATTTCGGCTCCCCGTTTTCTCAAAATTTGGCTTACTCTCCTGCAGATCAACATGGACCCCCCCAAAAAACAACCCAGTATTTCTAGAGGAAGCTCCTTTTGGGGCAACCCCTGTTGTTGGGTTTGATGTTCATCCGCAGGGGAGTAAGTCCCCACTCCGCCCGGCCGTTTTTTTTTGAGGCAAGAACCGGAACCTGCAGAACCTCCTGGTGCTCACGGCCATCAAGGCGGACAAGCCCCGGCCTCGGCTTGCAGCTTGGTTCGGAGGCCCCTCGAAAAATTGAGGGGGGGGGGTGGGGGGGTGGGGGGGTTGGGGGGGGGGGGTGGGGGGAGGTGGGTTTTTTGGATCAAACAATTGTGTGTGTGTGTGTGATCTCTACAAGTGGGGTTCCCCTAACAAACAGGTCTTTTTTTGGACCGGTTGCAACGGGCTGGCACATTTGGAACCAGGTTTTCCGGCTGAAAAGCCCATGCCTACAGTGAGCCAATGAAGGACAGTTTGAAGGTGAATCGTTGAAAGGCATAACGCAGGGAGTTGCCCGTCGACACCCGGTTGGCTCCAGATGCACAGGGCGCGTGTGATGGACTACATCAACCGCCTGGACAACTACGATGGTCCGGAGATTGCCAAGATCGCACGGGCACTCAAGGTGTCAGATCGCCAATCCCCCCTGTTTCTGAGAGCAAGTGCATTTATATTTCTCTTTGTTTGCCAGCTACGGGTCGTTCTGGCGATTTTGAAAGTTTATTTACTTGTGGGGTGGGACCCCGAAAGAGCTGTTCGGGAGCCTATTCTGGTCGAAAGTCGGTTGAGACTTGACCCAAACATCTGTTCGATTCACCTTTCGAGTTTTGGTTGTTGAGAGTTCATTTCCAGGCCTTGCGCTACGTTCGGCTGGTTTGGATTTGGGTGCCCTGCGTGAGCCAATGGTTGACTAAGGGACGAGGGTAGATGGGCCATCAAAGGAGACCATGGCCAATGTCGGCCTTTCCGAAACGAAAAAAAAGAAGGGTTGGGAAAGCCTCGCGGAAGGGACGCCGCTTTGCCCAAAGCCGACCTTTTGACCTTTGAGTTTCGCCTTTCTGATCCATTTTTCGTCAAGGCCCCAAAAGGTTGAACCCTATTTCCGGATCCCTTGGCCAAGTGAGCAAGTATGCCTCAACATTCTGGGTTCTTGGGGTAGATGGGTGAATATGGTTCACCGCCGAGGCCCTCGGGGACCCCTACGGCTTGTACGAGGAGGCTCGCGGTTGCGGCAAGATGCGGCCCTGAGTCGGCTTGGGGATAGGACGGATGCAACAAAAACCGCAGGGAAGGTCCTGCACTTTGACATATGCCCAAATTAGCGGTTTGGAGATCAACCTGCCTGATTGGTGAATGAGATTGGTGAATGAGATTGGTGAGCCCCAGTTTTGGTGCTCCTGATCTTAGCGGGAGGTGAACACAGTTAAAAGGACCCAAAGGTCCAAAGAGATATAGTTTCCTTTTTTTGTACATGTTTTTTCTTCCTTGTGTTTTCCTGTGCCCCGGTCGCATACGCGTTCAACTCAACTAATTACGCCCAATTCTCGCAGCCTTTGCACTATTTTGGGCGACCGGGCCCAGGTCCGGGTTCGCTTTTTTGTCTTTCTTGAGGGGACCTGTTGTAGGAACAGCCAACCACACAATTTGCTGTGCGCCCGCAATCTGATGCGTATACCTCGCTGGATTCCTCTGGAAGGAGATTCCCACGGACCAAAGTTTGGGTAGGTGCAAAAACCGCAAGTCGCACACTTTTGGCACCTTGAAAAGTGGCAAGCTGGCTCAAATTCCAAGCTTGTCCATCGTCCTCGGAACTCTGAGAACGTGGGGGTGTCTTTTTGTTGGGTGCCTTTCTTTTGTGTTATCAAAAGGAAACCAAAAGCACACCACCACTTTGGGGGGTCTCCAAAAAAAAGACACCCCCATGCTCTAACAACAGCCAAGCCTCCCGGAAGATGAAGCGCTGCGAACTGGTGCGTGAGGCTTTCCTCATCTACAAGAAGAGCGGGCAGAACGCCGAGGCTATGGAGCCGCCGCCCCAGAATGAAAGAAGCAGGGCATTTTGGGCCTAGCCCGAATGCCAAAAACGAGCGCCGAACATCGACCAACATGAGCCAAAAACGGGATGTGGTGGACCAATATGGGCCCAAAGAGGTGTGATGGACCAAGATGGGCCAACATGTATTGGTCCCTTTGTTTTTGTTTTCCAGCCAAACTGCTGGAGAACGGGACTTGGAGCTGCCCAGCAAAAAGCGGAGGCCATGTGGTTGGTAGTTCTACCCATGGTTTCGATTTCCGGCGCTTTTTTGTTGTTGAACATCCGGGGGTAGTCCCCTCGGGGTGGTTGGCACCCTGGCTTTCCCTTCAAACTTAAAGCCCATTCAAGAAAGGGTTCTTCCACCTATGAGGGTAACAGCATGGCTTTGTGATTTGTACCCCTTTGTATGATCTGCGTAAACCCTACATTACAGTGTAAACTGTATCTCCTTCGGGTATGTCCATTTGGGTCGTCCGGATTCAGATCCCAATCCGCCAAATCGGGATTCCAGTGCGGAGTGCGAGCCCCACTAGGGCCAAACATAGGCTTGTTGGACGGTCAAAGATTGCCGAAGGGAAACCAACCAATCGAAGAGTCTCTCAACACTTGTTGGCTGCCCTTTGGATCTGGGCCATTGTGCAGCATCCCAATGGGTCTGTGTTTTGTCAAGGTATCCTTTCACCTTGGTTTCAAGGCAAAGGATGAACATCTCCCTTTTAAAGCACTCCATTTTTTGTTTTGGTCCAAATCCCCATTTGGCATCATTTGGGTGTTTCCTGTTAATTCCCTTATCCCATCGAATAAGGGGGCCGATTCCTGTTTTGACAAGCACCCATCATGTTGACCCTAAGACCACCTGGCAAAAACACACTCTTTGATGGATCCCCCTGCTTGGATACATTTTTCCTGGGGTTCCCTCCATCCCCATCAAAGCCCACGTCAACGACTGCTCGGGAGCTCGGGAGCTCGGGAGCTCGGGAGCTGCAACTCTCAGTGTGCTGCTGGAGAACATCAACTCCCTGGAGCGGGCTCAGGAGTTTGCCGCGAGGATCAACGACAAGCCCGTGGGGGACTGAGGCCAAGGGAGGGACCGACTGAGGCCCAACTGAAGGGACTCATAGTTCCTCGACTGTGGATATTTTCATATGGGTATGTGCCAAAAACTCGGGGAACTCCCCCACGAAAACCGAGTGTTCTTTTTGAAGAAGGTCTGAAGGTCATTCTTCTCCTTGCTTCGGGGCATGACACCTCCCTTTGGGTACCCCCAAACACACACACCCCTCCCCAAACACGCTCTTGGGAGAGACAAAAACAGACCAAGCATGGACGCGTGTTTGGGGGGTGGTAGGAGCAGTGTTATGCCATACTGAAATGTCGGTGCCACATCCTGCAGCGCCTTATTCGGAGATCCTTGTATTCACACTTGCCCATTCAAAAGACCCGAAGGAGAAAGAATCTTCGTGCAAGCTCTCGTTAATTCTACGAGAAACGACGAGGGCAAATGCTGGACGAGCTGTTTGGGGAGGCGACCAGAGCGCAAAAACTGCTCCTTGCAAGGGCGTTATCCGACACATCGCGCATGGGGGTGCAACTCACGGCCCTTTTTGGAATCGCGACCGGCGCACTTTCTCCCACTTGAGGAAATTGAGACCTGCAGGATATTTTTTTGTGGGAGCGGCGCTGACCAATTTCTTTTTTGGACCGCCTCCTCTAGCCCCCACCCCCCCATCCATCATGCAAGCGCCTGAGGTGTGGTACAAGCTGGGCAAGGCGCAGCTGGAGAACGGCAGCGCGCGGCGCTCGAATTGCCAGGGAATTCATCTGCAAAGGCCGCCTTTGCGGGATCTATTTCGCATCTTTTCTTTGTCTCTTTCGCTCCTGGCATCTCGGTCTCCGTGGATATTGTTGTTCCTCTGAGCACCAATAGTCCCAACCATAGATCTGTGCCAGATGCGGAAGGTTTCATCCTCGCCCCCCACTTCAGGTCCATTTATCATTGTAGGTGGGCTATCGGCTCGTTTGGTACTTTACATGGCGCTGGCCATACTTGACAGGGTTTTGGATCAGGAGATCCCGTGTTTGGCCATTGGAGCTCCGGGCGATTCCGGGCTAGGAACCTTCCCAGGGTCCCTTCGCGCGGGAGCAAAAAGGGCACCGGTTCCCACAATGTTCCAAAGAGGAGGGTCCCTCCACGACAGAAAACTTGGAACTACGACAGGGGTTTCAGGAACAGCGTCTCAGAAAGGATGTGGGAACAGCGTCTCAGGAAGGATGTGGGAACAGCGTCTCAGGAAGCGTCTCAGGAACCTTTCTTCTTCCTTTTGCCCCCTTCCGCCTGCTTTCTTCTTCCTAATGCCCTTTTGCCTGCTTTCTTCTGCCTTTTGCCTCCTTTCTTCTTCTTCTTCTTCCTCCTTTTCTTCCTTTTGCCTCCTTTCTTTTTTTGTTGTTCCTTCTGCCTCCTTCTGCCCCCCTTCACGGAGCGAAAAACATTTTTGTGCCCCAAAGCACCCTTCTGCCTGCTTCTTCTTCCTTTTGCCCCCTTTCTTCTTCCTCCTTCTGCCCCCCTACAAGCAGAGCTCTAGTGCAGGCCGAAAGGAAAAAGAAACACAAAAGTCTTTTCCCAGCTTTTTTCCGGGCTTTCTTGCCTACTTTCTCGAGCAGGCCGCTTTCGGGAAAGTTTCATACACAGGGCGGACGGTGCTTTTGGGGTCCAAAAATGCGTTCTGCCCCGTGTTTGAACTCTTTTGTCGGGTCCTGCCATGGTTCCAGGAGGGTTTGTGTCAGGGTTGCTTGTGGCTGCCCTTGCCGTGGTCCGACTGCACCCTCCAATGTTCCCATTATTTTCTTTTTGGGGGTGTCGTTTTTTGGAGGCTACCCTTTTTGTGGGCTGGAAGAAACCAAATTGAAAACAGCCAGTCTTTGACGTCCCCATACCAGTTTTTGCCGGTTTTAAACATCATTTGTTGGGCGAGATTTCTTGGGTTTCCCTTTAACACCACCAACATATTTCCCCCCAAAAAGACGCATGCAAGCAATGAGGCTCAATAATGACGTATTCTCTTATTATAATCGTGACACATCATTCTCTACTCATGCCCCCATGCTATTTGCCCAAATAAGCTAGGGGTGAGTCGCAGCAGCTTTCAGGGAAGGTTCCGGAGTTTCGGGACAGTTGGGGATACCATCTGTGCTGTGGTTATCTGTGCCCTCCAACACCAGGCCCTTTTTGGGTTCCGCAAAGCGACGCGGCACCGGGGCACCGGCCGAGGTGCCCGAAGCTGTGGACTCCTACCTGAAGGCTGAGGACGCCAGCGACTACCTGGAGGTGATCCAGGCGAGCGGGACATCACCCACACCGCCCATATTCAATTCACCACTTGGTCGGAAGCGGAAACCTGTGGTTACAAACCTGCAAAAACAAAGTCTCCGTTCAATGGGATTGACCCTGGGGTGTTCCACCTCTGGGAGCTGGGGCTATCCAAATTTGCCTTGGGAGTGGTTCTTTCAGGAGCTAGCAGGAGTTCTAGTTGGGGACATGGCGAGGATTTGCCATTGAGTTCGCGCGTTTTCTCCCGAAAGGGGGACACTTCTGGGGGGAAAATCTTCCTTGCAAAAGTCAACACATGGAACCGGTTCTGCCTGGTTAGGTGGTTCTGAAGATGGGCATCTGAGCCCTAAAATGGTTGGTTTCCGGTCCCCTTGTTGCGGCCAGTGATTTGCAGGGTGCTTCTCAAACTGGGCCCCTCAAATGGGGGGTTTACCGTTGGTAAGTACCAACCAAAAGGGATCCCACTTGGCCTTTTGAAGCTTGGCTGAAAGGGAAGCCGGAAGCAACTCATTTCTTTGGGGTCCAAATCCCCATTTTGACATATACCCAGGTTGACAGGACGTTTTGTGGTTCGGCTCGGATTGGGGATGATGTATGTGCTTGGTATTTTTAAAGGGGGAGGTGTTGCTTGTTTGGGGTGGGTGGACAGCTGCTTGTTTTGGGAGAATGGGTTGGACCTACAAGGGGTCTTCGGAGCTAGTCATGCCCCCTTGGTGGCAATCGGGATGCTGTTTCGGCCCGGGCTGGTGGCAAGCGCACATCGCCCGACCCTCCGGGCGCCAAATCCAACCCGAAAGATCGCACAGCATCCAGAGCTAGACGAGAGAAAGGCGCTAGAACATTGCCGCCAAGCATCTCATGGCGCAAAGAAAACCGCTCCGAGCCCGGTCTGCTCCTGGTTTCTCGGTCCACTTGATGGAATTGCTCAAGTGACAGGTTGATTGATCCCAACAGGGAGGTTCTTACTCCGTGCGTTTCGGTGCAGCTGCTTTTGGGCCATGGCTCTGGCGGCCCTGCGTCGGTTGAGCCTCGCGCCGGCCGGACGCGCCGGCGGAAACGCGCTGCGGCTCCCGCGGGCACGGCTGCTGAGCTCCCAGGCGGGGTGTTTTGATGCTGACCGCCATGGGGTCGATAGCCTTGACGTGGCTTCGGTTTTTGCTGGTTCCGGAAGGGTGCAAAGGGGTTGCTTTTTTGGGTATGCCGCGGGCCTGGTGGAGTCACTGCCGGGGGGGGGGGTCTTGTGTCTTGTATCTGCTGGTTTTGCGTGGTTGGGCTGAGCTTGTTCGGATGGGTGTTTGGAAATTTCATTCCGTCCGATAGCTTCGATTCCGTTTGGAGCGAATGTTGTGTCCTCGCATCGTTGCGCCTAGTCGACCGTTTGCAGCGTTTGGTTAATTCAGGGGGCTAGATGCAACCCTTTGATGGATTCCTAGTAACAAACAAGTCAGTAGATTGTTTTGAAACACGTTGGTCTACCGAAAAGTTGGCGGGGTTATTCCCAGAATGCCCTTTCGAGAACATGTAACAAGTGCGTTCTTCTTGTTGCATGGGCGGACTGCCCGTTGATAGACTCCGCAGAATACTGAGCCTGAACCTAGTTGCCAGCAAGTCGGTGGATTTCTGTGTGTCATGTTGAAGGGATTTCAAGGGGCCCAACGAACTGCAAGCCGGTCCGTGAGAGAGACCTGGGCTCCAAAGTTGTGGTCAGGTGTGGGCGGGGAAGATACTGACCATGGGGAATGGTGCAGATATGGAGATGCATCAAAACCAGGGACCCCCCGAATAGCTGGGTTTCATGCTTTTTCACTTTCAGAGAAAGGCGTCCGTAGTTTTGACACACCAGCTGCGGGGTAGATGCAGGGAGAGTGGCAAGCAAAGCACGGGGGTTGATCAAAAACCGCTCTGGCTACACTTTGGAAGAACTTTGGAGCGTCATTTTTGTCCGCAATGCATGGACTAGACGTCGCTTTTCAGACTGCGGTTTTTGATCAACCCCCAGGCTGCGCTCCTGGTGTTTGCGCTGCTTTGCACCCCGCGACTCTTTGCTATGCCCCAGGCGGTTCCCGGGGGAGCCCGGGAACCGGGGGGAACCGGGACTGGGGACGTGCGAGCGAGGCGCAAATGCTCGGTCAAAGAGCGCGTTTGGAAGCAGTGGAGCATATGGGCGTGTCCTTTTTTACCGCCCCCCCCCCCCCCGCTAACATGGTGTTCTTTTAAACACCTACCAAAAGGGGTACCCTTACGACGAAAACATAGACCAGACATATGCATGCAGATGCATTCAACCTGTCAAGGGCTCTTCTCACTGCGACACTGAACAAAGGAGCGAGATGCCTTGCCACTAATTTGCAAAAAGATGCCGGCAAACGAAACGAAGAAAGAAGCCACCCAAGGCGCTTTAGACTGCCAACGCCGTAGCATCATACCGTATTATTATACGAAGCAAAGGGCAGAGCAGCTGCATATTTGAGATCTTGAAGGGGTTGTACCCAGAGAGGACTTTGTGTGAAAAGAATGGCCTTCGGAGCTGTTACCTTTCAATTTGTCAGCCTTGCGTTGACAGCGTGTTTTGCTTTCCGTTTTTAATGATATCTGTTGCTTGCATTGGATGCTTTAGAAAGTCGGCCTGGCTTGGCAATTCAATGCCCTGGCTTATTCCACCTTCAGAAGCCTTTTGCTAAAAGCAAAGGGCATCATTTGTTGAGCATTCTTGGGCCACACAGCAATGCCCCAGACAAACGGCTTACAGAGTTTGCTTTTTCTTACTTTTGTTTTTTGGTTTGCCTCAAGTTGCTGTTGGTGTTTAAGGCGCGAGGCTTTTAGCTGTATTTGACCGGTGCTTCGAGCCTCTTGAATGCCTTAAATACGAGCGCTCAAATTTATTTTTGGCAGAATCCGAAGATCCGATTCTTAGCCCCCCCCAAACCGGATGTCATCGCCTCCCTGGCTGGGCACCCCGCTCGCACCGCAGTCGTCAGGTGGACGCGGAGTTCCCGGGCACCGCGGTGGCGCGGCTGCAGGGGGTGCACCTGCGGGTCAAGAGCCTCGCGCCGGAGGAGCTGTGCGGCGACTGGCAGGACGCGACGGGGTGCGGGGGGTGCGGGGGCGGGTGGTGGGTGGGGTGGGTGCGGATGGCTGGGCAAGGATTGGTTTCAAGGTAAACTGATTGCTGGTGGGTGGGTGGCTCAAGGAAAAGGGTGGTTTGAAGACAAAGAAAGCGGTTTTGCGGGGCCTGCCCTGAAGAGTTTCCGTTTTCCGGTTTCCCTTTTGGGGGTTCCTGGTTTCCCGGAGCGAATCAACCTTTAAAATCTTCAGTTTCCTTGGGCCCACTATAAATGTCAAGGCCCAGAAGGTGGAACCTAATGGCAACCTGACAAAGATGTTCTCATAGATGTATCCCAGCGTTTTCAGTTGGTGAAGTCTCAGATTCACCCAGACTACTTGTTTGAGACGGAAAGACTACACTAAGGTGAAGGCAGATGGCGCAGACCCCTCAAAAGTGAACCCCGGAGAATTTCCGGGCACTCCCAATCAACCACGGCTTCTACTTCGGTTTGTCAATTTTTTGAGGGCCCCCAAACCAAGTGTTTTGTCTCTGTATTTCCCTTTGAGCCAACCTCGAAAAATATAGCTTCAAAAACGACCCGCCCACGTCGCTTTGGGGATGTGAACTCCGACTGTGCCCCTTCGAGCCATCCCGCCGGGTTTTCGCGTTAGGAGGTGCGGCGGCGCGTGCTGTGGGCCGGGGGCTTGCGGGACCTGCCGGACGTCCCGCCGGGCCGGGGCTGCACCGCGCGCCTCGGACCTCGGGTTACGTTGGAGACGGGTGGCTGGGGTTCCGAGCCGTTGCCCAAGTCGGAACCTCCAGAAGTGGCCGTCGTTTCAGGAGCCACCAGCAAAGTTTGCGCGCACGTCATCAGTGACCCGTGCTTGTTTTTCCTGGGTGAGGGGGGATTTTGAAGAGGTGTACGGCTCAGGTGAGCATGTTTGTATGGAAAGGGGCTCGATGATGTGTGAACACGGAAGCCAAAGCAATGCCAAGAAGGGAAGCCAAAGCGACCCAGTTTGGCGGAGATCCCTTTTACAGACATCCACGTTTGATCGACACAGCCTAGTGCCTCTGCGGCAACTGCCAACCGCCACGCACGTCCGAGGCACTCCTTCAACGATGACACGCACTGCGACCTCACGACCATGCTCGGCCCTTTGGCAAAGGTTTTGAAGGCGAGACGCGTCCGGATGGACGCGCGAGGTTCGAACCCTCACCCACGGGTGGGGTATCATCAATTCGGGCTACCCATCTTCCAGGTAACCCGCTTGAAACATGGTGAATGGGGTTGCCACGGACCGCTCCCGGCCGAGCCCAGTATGGAGTTAAACAGGGAGTTCGTGGGTCTTACCAGGCGCTCAAAAGAGTAAAATTGCTTCGGCAACATGGCGGAGCAGTTGGGGCTGAAATCAGACCAAGCCCACTCCAGTATCCGTCCATAAACTTTGTTCAAAGGCTTTTTTGTTGCTTTCAAATGATGAGGTCTTTCAACAGTATACAGCAGGTCTCGTGTTATTCGTTCCTCTTGCAGCTGCCCTACTTTGGATGGACAAATTCACTTGGGATAGATGAAACCCAAAAACTGGTACAAACCACCAATGCCAACTGGTGCGAAACGGATTTTTGTCCATGCATGATCTGGCCCAGGTTCAACGGACCACCAGGGACGGCATTGGAGAAAACTTCCCTTTTTCACTACGCCGAAGTAAGTTGTCAACTGGGCGCAAAAGGGACCCGGGCAACGCTCTCCTTGGAGCCCAGCGCTTGATTTTCCGAGCCCAGGCGCGGTCGCGCACAATCAGAATGCCATCAGCTCAGCTTGCGAATGCGGGAGGGGAGGGGTGCTTAGGGGTTCCTTGGCAGTCTCCCAGGACCAAACCTGGCAGACTGAAAGGGTTTTGCTTGCCACCCGTGCTGCAAGGTTGGGATGGCGGACGTATGAAGCAACACCCCTGTT